ACCCATTTAATGCCGAGCCTATTTAGAAAATGTGGAAAATAAATATATCAGAAAATATTTTATTACTACTATTTCGATAATGTATTTTCTGGTTATTGTATATAATACCTAAACGGTACCAACGAAATATAAAATTAAAATTTATTATAACACCCCGGGTGATCAATGAATTGGGCAATATATACCTGATTTATTGTTCATACAGACTAAATCTATTTCTGGACAATTATTTTAGAAAAATATCACGAGGACTAAAGGAGCGTAGCGGAGCTCCTGCCTTAGCCTTCTGAGCTAACCCATCCGAGTCAGGCTGCTCTGAGCTGAAATGTGTATAATACTATATTCCACACATCCTGGTCATTTTACGAATTATCTACAATTCCTAGGAATTCTATATAAAAACGGATTTCACAGATTTCTAGTAACATATGTACTATAATAGGAACGATAATATATAAAAAACCTTAAAAAATAAATAAAAATACTTTCCATATTAAAATTATTTATTGAAATTTTACACATCATGTGGATAACTCTGTGGCTTTTTGAAATCCTTACAGATATCAGCAATGCACCTTTGAATAAATATTCTCAATTTCTGATTGACCCGTATACTTCTTAATAGTTGCCATTAAAGAAGACCTACCCTGATGTGTTTTAGTTTGGCGCGCCACTTTTTGCTTAAGAATCTTAGTTTTCGTCTCAAGTATTTCTTCTTTAGTACACTTTATTTTCACTTGCACGTCGTCGTATTCACTGCTGACCTAAAAAACAAGAAAACTTTATGAAATCAGTATTTTTAGCATCGTACATAGTATTGCTCCGCTCATTAGGGTCGTAGCGTGATGTTAGACAGCCTTCCTGAGGAATTGGTTTTAAAAATGCAAAAAAAATATTTTCAAATCGGACTGGTATAATGTCCGTACAAATTTACATTACTTAATAGGTAACACATAATACACCGGAGCGCGACTTCGTGAGCACGCATAAATGAAGCATCAAACAAGAACCTTCATGCTTAGCAGAGTAGTGACGGTTACCACACTGCGACTGGCACTAAAGAGTTTAAATATGTATGTGTTTTAAGCTATATTACTACTACATTATGTAATGTAATATTAAAATCATAATAAATACAAATAAAAGGTATGTGTTTGGTAATAAAGGAAAAGGAAACTTACAGGTAACTTGTTCAGATTGCATAAATTTTCAAGAATTTTTCGACATTGTTTTTTACTAGTTTGGTCTTCAATATAACAGCCAGTACATTTCACTCCTGTTTCCTTAAGTGCAGAACTACTTTCATTAATTCCAGAACTAGTGTTTGTTACAGCCAGAAAAGCTATTTGCACAATAGACTCTTCATGTCATGCACTTGTTGTCTGCAAATGATAACATATTTTACAAAATGTACAAATACAAATACAAAACTACTACATTTCTAAATACGTAATATATTACGAAAAATAGATAATTAAATTATATAATATTTTTACCTTGCCTGATGATACTGTTTCTTGATTTCTTATAACAGTAGGAACTGCTGTTGGTTTTAAGCGCCTTGTTGTTGAATCATAATCTGATTCTTGAAAATGCAAATTGCAAATCCTTGCACTTTCATAATACTTCATTTTCAATGGTACATTGGATAACAACAAATTTCTCAGAGTACTGTTTTAGGAAATCTAAAAAAATATTCGTAATTATTGTAAACGTCATTAAAGTATCAGAATAAAGAGAAACAAAACCTAAATAAAGATAAATTGTCTGCCAACAGAATATATTGTGTTACTAATTTTTAATTTAATATTATGAAATCTATGAAATCCGTCATTATATAGAATACATAGGAATTGTACATAATTCCTAAATTTCATGCATTTCCGGTAACATAATAAGAAACATGTACATATAATTAGTTAAGGTCACACGGAAAGTCTCAGATACATCGTCAATATGGTCACACTATTTCAGTGCGATTTCTTTTAAACAAAAACAATAAAATTGTTCAAAGTCAATTAAATTCAATGTAAAACTATTTGATTTTGACAAAGTTATAATTTACTAATATGTTTAAAACACTGATAAAACGTTTCAGCAAAAAATTAAGTGAAAATACAAAGTATGTTTCCAAGTATTCAATGCCAGAAGTCACTATTTAAACACTTACGTGTGAAATCTTATATCACCTCCTGGACACCAACTACTGCCGCGGCTTAGCTTTCCATTGACTTCCGTCGAGTTGGGGGTTGATACGTACTTTTACAGAAAAGTTACACTATTATAAGCACACACACACAAAGTTAGAACATGCGGAAACGCGTAATTTTTGAGAAAAAAGTTGTTGAAAGTCAATTATTCTTGCATTGTTTATATCTAATCCTACCATAAAACTGACGCCATTTTGTAATGTCATTGTCGTCAGTAGGGATGTCGATTCTTTCCGAAAAGGGTCGATTTTTAAATCGATTCATATCGTAAGCTGATGTATCGATTCGTAAAAAATCGATTTCTAAAATATCTATATTTTTATGTTTGCATTTATAATGTAAATATAATTCTATTTTATGAAAAACAAGAAAGATACCATAATAAATGATCTCTTATTGAATTTTGTTTTATTTTAACAGTACCAATTAGGGCAGATAACAAATAAAATAGGTTAGGTTCAACTTATGTCAAAGAACCGAATTGATTGACCCCGACTCCACCCGGTACGAGTCTGTCCTACCCCTAGAGTGGTTTTAAAGAGCCGGAGGCGCGTAGGGGGAGCAGCCTCCGTCTGCTGTAACAAATCGTAGGTATCGGACGAGCCGGAGCGGCCGAGGCTGGTCGCCGAAGGCGACCAACAAGCCGAAGCTGCGGAGGCGAGGAGGCATGCCTCCGATTTGTTACGCTAAGGCGTAGAGGCTGCTCTTCCCGCAGCGCCGGAGACGTAGCAGTCTCTAAATTGATACAGAAATCCTTCTGAATCAGTCCCCCTATATTTTATGATGAAGGGGATTTTTTTCTCATAAAATGGATTTATATTTACATTATAAATGCAAACATGAAAAAAATATAGATATTTTAGAAATCGATTTTTTGGGAATCGATACATCAGCTTACAATTCGAATCTATTTAAAAAATCGATCTTTTTCGGAAAGAATCTACATCCCTACTGACAATAACAATAATAAAATGGCGTCAGTTTTATTGTAGGATTAGACATGAAGAATGTAAGAATAATTGATTTTCAATAACTTTTTTCTCAAAAATTACGCGCTTCCGCATATTGTAACTTTGTGTGCTTATAATAGTGTAACTTTTCTGTAAAAATACGTATTAACCCCCAACTCGATGGGAGTCAATGGAAAGTCGTACCACTGCCGCAACCACGTACTACACAAGTTTGCACCATTTCTTGAATTATAACAATAATTAACTTTAAATATCTCAAACGACACTGTGAACTGCTAAGTAAACAACCGCCATATTTGTCTAATTTATGTTGACATATAGGGCTAATGTTGCCACTTGCCACATTACCGAACCCTTAGGAAATGGGATTGTAATTCACTGATTCGTTAACCCAATAATGCATACGAGACCTTCAATTTTGGAATTTTTAATGTAACTAATCGTAGTTAAACTATTTATTTATTGGAACATTATTTTACAGAGCTTAACTTCTGATTTCGTTATTGTGGAAACTTTTTCTAAGAATTTACCAGGAGATTTAAATAAAAACATAGCAATACTGTATTCCACACTAAAAAGAGAAGTCAGACCACAGAGAGTGAGATAAAGATACGTAGGTATTTGACTCAAGCTGTTGTTCAAAGTGTGGCCTCCATCTTTATCTATAACTTCATGGATTATACATAGCTATGACTACTGAATTTGTATAGAAATTACTCATCTGTCAAAATAGGCGACTGTAGCGCCAAAAGGCGTAGTTGGGAAAGTTTACTAAAAGCAACTGTCGTACTCGTATCTGTACTCTGTAGTTTCAGTATATCGCTGCTTAAATGCAAAACTACCACATGCCAAAAATTATTATTTTTACAGGAGAGCCAATTGAAAATTTTCAGATTTAATTTTTGAATTTCTCAACCAAATCACGTCCGATTAGTACGCGTAATACATCATTACTTGCGTATTTGCAACCTTTACGATTTTAAATTAGTTATTTTTCACTAATGTTTAAAAGGAAGCATACAGAAGCAGATAAGTTACTTTTGCATATAAATTATAGGTGTAATGACAATGAAATGTATGAAATAAAAGCCACAAGTCGAAAAGAAACCAGGGTTTTATATATTTATTTTCTTAAATGAGATACATAAGTCGTTATGTTTATTTGTAAATCAAAATATGGCATCATTTCGAAATAATAAATATTCTAAGTACGTAATATCCGCTTAAAAACAAGTTCCGTTTAATAAATCAAAACTATAAATTCTCATTCAAAAACTAAAAATATAAATCTAAAAGCTTTAAACTTTGTGAGATCATTCAGAAACGAGATATCTTTATAATCAATCTTTATAATTTATCATAGTCACAGCTTGCTATTTATGAATTATTACTATGTTATTCACAACCATGAAGATCACAGTAGTTATTAATATTAATATAATATTTATAAAAATAATATTAGTTAAATGAAATGTTATAAAAATTAAACAGTCTTGTCAATTTGCTATTTTTTCTATTTAACTAAAAATACTATGAAAGCTTATAAATAACATAACAATCTTAAAAAATAGCTTCAATAAAAAATATATTAAATTAATAAGCACTGCTAATCTAAAGATTTGCATAAAAGCTTTCATAATATTTAGGTATCACATTTTTTTCTATTATTTTATGATACCCTGCTTCTTTGTCTCCGAAACTTTCAGTTTTTGAGTATATAATTTCTTTAAAGTTGGCACTGTTGCAGTCTTAGTTTTCTTTTTCAACGTGTGTACCATTTTAAAGTTTTCATCTTCATAGGACGTTTTGAATAAAAATGTTATATATTATATAAATTTTTCCATAATTCTGGGTGCGCTTTTCTTTTCCGTGATTTTTTTACTCCTGCTTCATCAATAGCTTCAACGCTAGGATTTTCGATATAAGCGCTTGATGGTGGAGTTTCTACGCTATTAGGTATACGAGGATAAGTATAAGTTATGTCATAATTCGGTGGGTCAATTACTATTGCAGACTGAGAATTATTACAAGTAAGTCGTAGTTGTTGTTGACTGCTGTTGGATTCAACTGGTTCATAAACAATTGCTGAGCGCTGGAAAATGTTCACCCTCGATGGTCCAGGTTTCGGTGATGAACAATCGTTATAAGGATATAAATATTCTTCAAGATCCGAGTATATTTTGTCGTCTGAGTCAACTGAATAGTTGGGGTCTTTAACGATATCGTCTGATGAAAAATCAGTCCCCGTGTTTGATTGGCTAGCAGTGTCACTTTCTTCGATATACTTATTTGTCCTTTTTTGCGATGGAATATTTAGAACAGAAAATGAATCTATTTCGTCGAGTACTGAGAAACCGAGATCGGGCTGGCTGTCTGGAATAGAATTTGTGGAGTCATCATTTAGATCCTCGGCATAATTATCTTGAGATATATTTTCAAGTAAATTTTCAGGCGGCATTGTGCTAGAATTATAGTTGAGTGCAACAGTACCTAGATCTCTTGGCGTTTCGTCTGGACTGCCACTTTCATCGCAGTCCCTATTTGTAACAAAGAAAATAAATAAATGAGTATTGTAATAATAATATGAATTAATAATACTACCCACGACTTCGATCCCCGAGATCACCTTTATTATAATTGAAATAGCTTTTCGGACCCCAAAGTAAAGTAAGGATGAAGTTTAAGAATTAGACCATTAATTCTAGAGATAACTTCATTCAACTTAACATCTTTATAAAATTAGTAAAGACATGTTAATACTCGGAATCACTTAAAGATGAACTTAATAATTTTTTATCAAATATGGTATTATGTACTTACTTTTTTGTTAGATGTTTGACGGGACTCCCAAGCTCCAACATATTTAGAATTCTTTGCGCTCGGTTGTTCATTCTAAAGAATATCATAAATTAATCACTAACTAAGCCTTTACACTTTAATATACACTTTTGTTATTAAATTTAAACGAAAAACAGGTACAAAAATGATAAAAATCATAAAACCATGCTAATAAACGAACACATTACTCCCCTTTTGAGTATTGAGCAGTCTGGTAAAAAAAATCTATCTAGGTACTTCAGGTTACATACAAGACATTTCAGAGCATTAGAATTTAAAAAAATCTATAATGCTACACATTCTAAAAACGGGGCCGATTAGTAAATAACACTTTTAAGTATAATATTTTATTTATTTTTATTATTATTATGAATCAAAACAACATTAAACCAAAACACTGACTTTTAGTTTTAAAATTTTAAAAAGTTTCCATCGAATAATTTATGCAAAACAAACGTATTCCAAATACAGCAGTTTTGTTTATAAATTAATTGAATATTTGTATAAATTTTTTAAGCAAAACAAGTGTATTACAAAATGTGGCTCTTTTATCTTAAAATAAAATTGTGTACTTTTGAATTTTAAATTCAAAACAACCACACTCCATAATATAGTGCTTTTGACTATAAAATATGAATCAAACTTACATGGTTTTTTGACATGTGGTAGTTTAGTTCCAAGAAAACGTGTATTCACGCTGGCAGCCCGACAACAACTGACAATATGGCGGTTTTGATTTGAAGTTAGTCGCAAAAGGTCAAAATTCAAAACAAATGTTTCGTATCTTTTTCATGTTTTAAGGTCGAAATCAACGGGTGTCTTTAATTCAGATATAATAATGATGGATTATAAGGCGGTTTACATAATAAAAACGATTTTCTTATATTTTGAGTTATGGTAGTTTTGAATTTAAGCAGCGATATATAAAAGTACTCTGTGCTTTGTAGTAGGGATGTCGATTCTTTCCGAAAAAGATCGATTTTTAAATCGATCCGAATCGTACGCTGAAGTATCGATTCACAAAAAAAATCGAGGTCTAAAAGATCGATTTATAAAAAATCGATATTTTTTCATGTTTGCATTTATAATGTAAATATAAATACATTTTATAAAAAAACAAGAAAGATACCATAATAAATGATCTCTTATCATTAAAGTTAGTTTTTTTAGTTCAGGGTATTCGATAATAACAATTATTTTTATTACCATATCAAAGTCAGATCAGGTATGAAAGAAGACATTTATTTTCAAAATGTATTTATTACGTGAGAAAGTTTCCCAACGCTTCATATCTAAACTTTTTAAAAACAATAGTCTGGCAAGTCTATTGGGATCCAAGCAGTTCCGCTTATCACTTTCGATGTTGCCGGCAATTGAAAAAAGGTGCTCTCTAGGAACAGATGATCCCATGATACTCATATACATCATGGCTATGATGTATATGAGTATCATGGAGTGAAGGTCGTGATAAATAGAGTTTTTTTGTTCTTGCCAGAACAGTATGGGATCATACTTCAGGTGCACAGCTGCCTGCGATAAATAGTGTTTAAATTCTTCGTTTAAGCCCTGACTTTCCGGCGCAAGTGCATTACTGTACTATATATACACAAAATATATATACACAAAAATAAGTATTTATTTCGCTAATTACAATTTTATATTACGATACAGTTTGTTTATATAAACAAATATGAATGACGCAATTTCAATCAACAACTACAAAAAGTCATAGACTACAAACCTAACTTTTTTTTAATTAAATCGAGGCGAAGGAAACTAAGCATACAGCTATCTGGCGAGTTTTTGAGTAATTAACCCTTTAACCGGCAACACCGTAATAGTACGGATACATTCAACTAATTGTAAATAATTTTACGGTTTTTACCAAAACAAAAAAAAATCGAATGGCGATTTTCAAGGGTGAAATATCGATTCACTGGATCGATTCACTTCTGCACATCGATTTAAAAAATCGATCTAAGGGGCCTGAAAAATCGATTCTTCGATTAATCGATCTTAGATCGCCATCCCTACTCTGTAGCTTGCTAGAGGCTAGAGCTTGCTACTTTGTGCTTGCTACATATTTATTTATCTATCTATGATTTGTAGTTTTGCGGTGTTTGGGCTTGATGTGAAATTTTGTGACTTTTTGGAATTTAATTATTCGCAGTTTACATTGATTGATACGATTTACATTCTTTGAGTTATTACTTGAGAATTTCTATTTAATATGCAGTTATAAAAGGAACTACAAATATTTAAATCAAGAAACCGGCATCGTAAAGAGCCCTCCAAAATGTCGGGGTAAGTTTTATGCACAAACGAAAGCTTTATGAATATTTCTCAACATTCAGATACGTAGATGTTAAATAAATATATGAAATATAAATTATATATTCCATATGTTTATACATATACAAATATAAATAGTGAAGAATTAGATTAAATAATTTAAATAAAACGTAAAAAAAATACCCTCATGTTATATACTTTTATTATGAATAACGATACATATTATTTTTTCATTCAATTTATGATAATATTTTTATTACTTTGTTGCAAATAATATTTAAAAATATGCATTTGTATTTTAGGAAAGCATACACCATGAAGGAGATGAAGGCTATAGTGGATTATTTAACCGAAAGAAGGGCCTATGGGGAAATAAGAGGTAGAAAGATGTGGATGGAATTTGAGAATTCAAAGGTTGGTAAAGAAATAGGATTATAGTCTCTAACTACCCAAACTTGGCACTTTGAAATGAAAGTTTCAATACTCTGAAACTCATAGTTTTCGAGAAATTTAAGAATAAATTTATTATTTCGTTCTATCTTGCTTATTTAACACAAGTTAAGCATACACATTAGAAATGTTGCATTTTGTTTAAGCAAGTTGTGTTGGAGCTTTATAAAATTAAAATATTTTGTTTTTTGTACTTAGCAATTCAAATTAGAATAAAAAAATGTTGCTATAGTTATAAAATACATGTTTCAGTTTTAATTAATTCCAGGTCAAAACTAATTTAGATAGACAAAAACAGTCAAAATTAATTTCACTAATAAAGTTAAGGCAAAAGTATTTTTATCTGAAAAATAGTGGTAGAATATAAAGTTTTACTTACAGCAGAATTTATCATGAGGGTAAGCCTTAATACTGCACTAGTCATTATCCTTTATAAATGTAATGGAAATTTTGTCATAAAATTCAGATAAAATGCAATCAATACAATATACTTAGAAGAAAATATTTAGTCAATTAAAGCCTAATTCACGAAAGGACTACATAGTCTGGAAATAACCTATTTTCTAAAAAAAATATGATAAAAGATTTCTTGTGCCTCATTCAATAAAGGACTAATTCTTACAAAGTCTGTTTCAGTTTGTTTTAAACATGAAAATATAGGCATGTTCTAGCCATGAAAAAATATATTACTAGGTGTATTAATTTAGCCAAGACAACGATTACAATTTACTTAAAATCTAGCAATACCATCATTAACGAAAGTATATTTGAACATGTAGCAGAACTATTGATAATGGACTTCCTAGTTACATATATTGCTATGTATGTTTCTACATTTAATAACATTTTATTTAAATTGTTATTAAATGCAGAAACATATGTATATAACATAAATTATTTTATTTTTTCTGAAAAGAATTACATTAAAACACTATTATGGACGAAACGGTTTTTTTTCACATATTGTATAAGGCTGGCTAAGCATGCAAAAAGGTAACACTAAACCTATGTCTACCTGGCTAATTTTAGTTTTATTAATTACACTAACCTTAGTTGTATCATAACAACACTGTTTGATATATTATATTTTTTTTTTTATAGGAGAGGGGGCAAACGAGCATGCGGCTCACCTGATGGTAAGTGACTACCGCCGCCCATGAACAACTGCAACACCAGGGGAATTGCAGATGCGTTGCCGGCCTTTTAAAAAGGAGTACGCTCTTTTCTTGAAGGTCCCTAAGTCGTATCGGTCCGGAAAAATCGCTGATGGTAATCGATTCCACAAGGAGGTCGTGAGAGGAAGAAAACATCTTCTAAATCGCACAGTGGTGGACCGCCAATCATCCAGATGGTGTGGATGGTATCGGGAGTTCTGCTGCGATGTGCGTTCGTGAAATTTGGCGGCTGGGATTAATCCGAACAATTCCTCAGAGCACTCCCCATGGTAGATGCGAAAGAAAATGCAAAGGGATGCAACATCTCTTCGCAGTGCCAATGAATCGAGCCGATCGGAAAGGGCTCGGTCGTCGACAATTCGAGCCGCTCTGCGTTGGATGCGGTCAAGTGGAAGGAGCTGGCACTGGGGAGCCCCTGCCCAGAGATGGGAACAGTATTCCATGTGAGGCCGAACTTGCGCCTTGTAAAGTAGCAGGCGGTGTGACAGCATGAAATACTGTCCCGCTCTGCTGAGCACGCCAAGCTTTTTAGAGGCCAATTTGGCCTTCCCTTCCAAGTGACCACGAAACTGCACGTCACTCGATATGTCGACTCCGAGGATACCGATACTGGCTGAGGCAAGAAGGGGAGTGCCTTGAAACTGAGGAGATACGACAAAGGGCTTCTTTTTAGCGGTAAACGCGCAAACTTGTGTCTTCTGAGGATTAAATTGGACTAGATTTAGTCGCCCCCAATCCGAGACTTTGTTCAGCAAAGACTCGACTTCAGACACAAGTTTGTTCCGGTACTCAGCGACGTTTTCCCGAGAAATATTGGCACGGCCGGTGTATAGAGCATCACCAGTGCTGTCATCCGCATAGCAATGAATGTTACCAGTTAGCAACATATCATTATCAATGATTCATTGATATGCAGAAGAAACAGCGTTGGTGATAGCACACAGCCTTGTGGAACACCAGCGTTAATAGGCTTGTAGTCAGAGCATGCACCGTCTACAACGACCTTGATGCTCCGATCTGCAAGGAAGCTGGTGATCCAATTGCACAATTTCTCGGGAAGCCCATAGGAAGGGAGCTTCGAAAGAAGCGCTTTGTGCAAAACCCGATTGAAGGCCTTCGCAATGTCCAGACTAACGGCCAACGCCTCCCCCTTGGACTCTACTGCCTCCGCCCATCTATGGGTCAGGTAGACCAGAAGATCACCAGCTGATCGACCCCGACGAAAACCGTATTGGCGGTCACTAATCAGCTGGTGATCCTCAAGGTACCGGATGAGCTGGCAGTTAATAATGGATTCCATTATTTTGGAGAACAAGGAGGTGATCGCGATAGGCCTATAGTTGGATGGGTCTGAGCGGTCGCCTTTTTTAGGGATCGGGTGGACAAAAGCTGTTTTCCATGAATTCGGGACTACGCCTTGGGAGTAGGAGTACCGGAAAAGACGCGTTAGGACCGGTGCCAACTCCGGAGCACACGTCCTCAGCACAATTGGGGGGATTCCGTCAGGCCCACTCGACTTCTGGATGTCCAGGGAGAGCAGTGCTTTGCGAACCGAGCGCTGTGAGAACAGCACATCCGGCATGGAGCACTCACACCGCGGGATGGTCGGCGGTGTTTTCCCCCCGTCATCAAGAGTCGAGTTGGACGCAAAAAGGGAGCCTAAAAGGTCGGCTTTGTCTTTTGCGTCATGGGCCAGTGAGTCATCCTCCCTGTGCAGAGATGGTAGTGATGGCTTACAGAAATTCCCTTGGACAGCCTTGGCTGGAGACCAGAATGCACGGGTTCCCGAAGGAAGGCGAACTAGTTTCTCGCCAATTCTGCCTATGTGCTCTGACTTTGCCTTGGCAATAACTCTTTTGAAGGACCTGGAGGCGAAGTTATACTTCATTTTAAGTGTGCTGGTATTTACATCCCGAGTCGCCGAAGCCGCAGCCCAGGCTTGATAACACTCCTGCTTACTGCGTAATGCAGTCTTACAGGAGCGACCAAACCAAGGCTGAGATCTGCCTCCGATGGGTACCACAGATGATGGAATAAATAGTTCCATTCCCTGTAGCACCACATCAGTGACAGAGTCAGCAACAGCGCTGGGATCATCCGGCGAGAAGCAAACCCGCCCCCATGGGTAGGATGCAAAGAAGGACCGCATTCCGTCCCAATCCGCCGACCTGTAATGCCAAACACGGCGGCAACCTGCAGAACGCAACCGCGAAGGGAGCGTGAGTGGCACCACACTCCGGATCAGACAATGGTCCGAAGAGCCGAGAGGGGCATCGACGGAAACCTGATATCCGTCCGGATGAGAGGTCAGCAGAAGGTCCAACAGGGAAGGTGTATGATCCTCCACATCTGGAATCCGCGTAGGCGAAGTAACCAGTTGTGTCAGACCATATGCCAAGGCAAAGTCATAAACAGATCTCCCCGCATGATCGGTTAGACGTGAACCGAGCCATTCGGCATGGTGGGCGTTAAAATCGCCAAGGATCACGATCTCTGCGGATGGGACCTGTTGTAGCAAGAAATCTGTAGCCATTTGGACGTGGTCGATGAGTCGGTCTGTTTCGGCATTACCGCTATGGGACCTATAGAGGCACCCGTAGACGCGCGGATGGTCGTCGCTGTCTATGCGTAGCCAAAGGATGGACAGGTCCGAACCTTCAAGACTGCCGAGGCGTCGAGAACAGATGTCCTCTCTGACATACACGCAAACTCCAGCCCGAGGCACAAAGGAATGCTCCAATTTGTACCCCGGGTAGGAGAGATACGAAATATCAGCCGGAGAGGAAACCTGCGTCTCGGTCAGAAAGAGCAAGGCCGGCTTCGCCGTCTTGAGATGGTAGTGGACGGCGTTTAGGTTAGAGTGAAGTCCCCTGATGTTGCAGAAATTCACGGATAGCGTGGCAGGGGTCGCCTTGGTGTTCTTGCTCAGTTTGCCCCTAGCAGTAATGCTTTTGAGCGGAATTTTGCCCCCCCCAGAATACGCGAATACGAATTATAGTTCATCATTATCATCATTACAGCCCTTCACAAGTCCACTGCTGAACATAGGCCTCCCCCAAAGAATGCCACAAAGCACGGTCCTGAGCCACCTGCATCCATCGACTTCCTGCATGTCTTACCAGGTCGTCACTCCATCTCGTGGGGGGACGCCCTACACTTCGCCTACCGGTACGAGGCTGCCACTCGAGAACCTTTCTTCCCCATCGGTTGTCGGTTCTTCGAGCTATATGGCCGGCCCACTGCCACTTCAGCTTACTAATCTGTTGGGCTATGTCGGTTACTCTGGTTCTACTGCGGATATCCTCATTCCTAAGTTTATCACGCAGAGAAACTCCGAGCATAGCCCTCTCCATAGCTCGCTGAGCGACCTTGAGCTTCCTCATACGGCCAGCAGTGAAGGACCACGTCTCAGTTCCATAAGTCATCACTGGCAACACGCACTGGTTGTACAATTTCGTTTTCAGATTTTGAGGTATGTCTGACGAGAAGATGTGTCGTAGCTTTCCGAACGCTGCCCAGCCGAGTTGAATCCGTCGATTGACCTCTCGGTCGAAGTTGGACTTACCTAGTCGGACTATTTGTCCCAGGTAAACATAATCGTCAACAACTTCGAGCTTAGTGCTCCCAACAACTACCGGCATAGGTGTGACATGGACATTGAACATGATCTTTGTTTTGTCCATGTTCATCTTAAGACCTATCCGTTGGGAAACACTATCGAGGTCATTGAGCATAGTGCTTAGGTCCTCCAGCGATTCTGCCATAAGGACTATATCGTCGGCAAATCGAAGGTGAGTGATGTACTCGCCATTGATGTTGATACCGTATCCTTTCCAGTCCAGAAGCTTGAAAACGTCTTCCAATGCAGCGGTGAAGAGTTTCGGGGATATGACGTCTGTCTTGTGGTGGCTCTTTCTGGCAGACAGATCTCTGGCAAAGACTTTGGAGCCTTGGTTCCGCTCGATCGCTTCTTCAATACGAGCTGTATTGAAGTTGCGTAAGTCCCGCCGCATGCATTTGGAGATCTGTCTGTTCAGATGCCTGTATGCTGTCAAGTCTGTTGAAGAATGTAGCTTCATCTCCCGTCTAACAGCCATGAGATTAAGAGTGTGATCGGAGAGTTTTTGTGTTCTTCTGCGGCGGGTCTTGCAGAACTTAGCTCCGACCGCATGGACAGTTTCCACGAGCTTGTCATTCATATCGTCCACTTCATTGCAGTCTTCTAGGCACTGAAAACGGTTTTGTAACTCGAGCTGAAAGGTTTCGGGACTTTAACTTTTGACTTTTACGAATTATAGTTATATTTTCATATTTGAAACAGATTGATAGAGGTTAGCCACTAAAGTTTAAGACAGTAATAAATGTTGAATTTTTAGTTTACAGACCGGACTTGGCAAAGTCTAAAGGAAACATTTTTAAAAAGAATCCTACCTGATATACATAATCCTTATTATCAGTTATCCTTGACACAAATTAGCAGTTTCAGGGCTGGGTGAGTAAAAAACTTTTATTTCATATTTACTACATTTTTTGTTATAGAGCTACTAGAGCTCATGGACGTCTATAGCTAACTTTAAATATTAAATGATGTGTAGCTACCAATGAGGACAATGAAATGTCTCACAGCCTCTATTTATACTTGTTCTATATCTCTGTTAACTAAAAATAGTGGGTGTGTTGTATTGTCAGGCAGGTTTATGATTTCTTATATGCCAGAAGTTTCTATTATACTTTTTTTATTCTTTATAGTGCTTCTTATTCATTAAATGATAGAAATTTATCTATTGTAACAATTGTTGAGGTTCTGTGGCTTCAACCACAAATTCAGATATTTTAGTTCAATAACAGTGAGGAAAATATTCACAACAACTAAGATATTCATTCATGTTTGTTTGATATTACTAATATTAGCATAGCACAAATAGATTAATTATAAAGGGTTGGTACTTCATTTAATGTAGTAGTTTAATATAGTTAATGTAGTGGTGGCATTAAAGAACCTATTACCTCATATACTGTTAGTATCTAAAAAGACTACAGAGACTACTGCCAACTCGCTAGCCAAGTATGTTAAATATTCCCCCCTAACCCCTATGAAGCAATCCACAGAGGAGGTCTATAATTAGCAGTGGACTATGATGATGACGATATTGATGGCTTTATTACAACCTTATATTATCATATATATATATATATATATTATAGTTGGGAAACAAATGTACTTGTGCAGACCATAGCCCGCACAGCACACAAATTGCCCGCACTTGCTGGGCAAAGGGTTGGCTGTCTGCTATATATAATATATGCACTTGGCATAAGCGTATTTTATAGTACTTCTTTAACTAATTTTAAGTGACGTTTTCGAAAAATATAATATCTATAATGGTGAATTACTGTTATAGTTAATATGAGTTACTAAGTAAAGTTGAATTCAAATGACAGCCACGCTTATGTTTCCCTCAATTTTTTTTTTGACAAAATTGTTTGTTCGAATGTGAAGTCCAGTCAAATAAAGTCTGAAATCATAATTTTGACACTCAACTTTGCATTTTTGATATAATGTAGTTTTAATGATACAAAACCAATGTGTAAATGTTTCCGTGTTCGCAAGGGTTAAAAAAAATTTGTCAAAAGTGTTTTTCGCAATTACTCAAAAACGGTAAAAGTTAGACAAAAAAGTTCTTATAAAAATGTGTATCTTAAAATTTTACGTAAAAAAGGTTTAATGATATTTTTTTCTCCGGTCAAAATTAAACGAGTTAGGGAGATGCTAGGTTTAAGGGATGGACCTAAATTTAAAAAAATCTAACCAATACATTAGATTTTAAAATTTAAAATTAACATTTAATAGATACAATTTTTTGTTATTAAAAAAGAAATTTTTATGTTAAAAAATTAATGAATTATAAATTTTTTGCCATATTTAGATTGCTCGTAAAATTTCCTAAATTTTACAATTGAAAAAAAATTTTTCCTGGTATATTTTGGCAGGTGTAAATTTTGTAGAGGTATAAATCTTTTTCAAATCCTTTTCAACGCCGTTGTATTAAGTCCTGAGCTAAAAAGATAGTACTATTGCTTACTCATATACTAATACGAGGTCCGAGTAAGAGTGAGAAGGCATCATTGGAGAATCATAATTCTCGCACTTTCTCTATTTTATGATCTGTTCATTAAAATAGATCAGGTTATTTTAGCCTACTTGGTGATTGAATACGAAACTAGGAAGTAATTTTTTTTTAATAATATTTATTTAACATTATTTCTTAAAAATAAGTTGAAGATTTTTTTTAATTGTCCCGACGATATATCGATTCCAAATTTCATGATTCATAAAAAATAACTTGACATGTTGTGATTGATTTTGAAACTTAGCATTTTTTTATAAACATTTGGTGTCCCGACATGTCAAGTTAGTTTTTTGAATTTCGCAACATTTAATGAATATCCAGATAATTCAAAATCCTGATTTAATTTGTATTTTTAAGGGATGTTATAGTAAAATTTTCCTTGTATTATTTAAAAATAATCAATTTTTGTGATAAGTTATTAATTTTAATATTTAATTTATTTAAATATAAAAGTAAATAAATAAATATATATTCATTTGAAAGCTTACCACTTACGGGAACTTCAAATGTAGACTAGCAGAATTTTCCGCTTTTAGAATGCGCTTGCTAAAAATATGATTAGCATAAAAAAATGGTAAAGAAGTTTATTCATTAGTTACCAAAAGTAAAATATATTTTCGAGATTAACAATCTAAGAGACATGAGCATTTTCATTATTTTTTAATACTGATTAAATTCCATTTCTGTTTCATTAGATGATCCAATGCATCCTTCGGTTGATTTATCTAGTTCAGAAAATGTATAATTTCCAGTCCTTATTTCTTCTTCTTCGTCATCGTCCTCACAATAATATTTCCTTTCTTCATCATCATTATCATTTACTGGATTATCATCTTCTATAACTATTTGCGTTGTTGATGTGTTAATGTAACTTATTTTAGGTGACGCTGTTTTCTAGTTACTAGCCCATTTTTTTTATTTATGAATCAAAATTACTCATATTCACAATATAAACTATGTAGTTTAGTGCCCAAAAAAAATCACGTCGCGAAGGAACCGTTAGGTGGCGATGTGATCGAGTTATTTATAAATTTTATAATAACATTGTAAAAGTCCGCGGTAAATTCGAAATGAAACTCGTTGCGCCCTTTATGGAAAGGGCAGAACAACATCTGTCGGGCTAGTTATTATATTATCATGTAAAAGTAAAAACATACGTTTTGCTACTGGGCACACTCCTGTCATTTCTGAAAGGTGGGCAAAAGCTTTTTAGTATCCTTCTGGAAAACAGTTATCTGTAGGAGTTTGTCCTGTATCATTTTACATTCATAAATCACAACTATGTGCCCAAATGCTTCGCCAACATTTTTCTTATGTTTTTAGATACGATGTAGAGTCGAAACTTGGAAACAAACTGGAAATAAGAAATGTGAATGAAGAATCAAACACTAAAGGTATAAAAATCAAATAATTTGTGCTATAGAAAATATTTTTTATGTAAGATAATATACATTTTTAATATTTAATTACTTTCAGTTGATAAGCCGCTAAATACAGAAACACCTAGTACAAGCAATAAAGAAGAAAATAAAAAAGGTGAGGAAACAATAAATTCAAAGACCGTAGCTCATCACAGATCTTCAGCTGAAACGATTGTCATCGATCCTTGTTATGAAACTGCTGAAGATATTCAAAGAGACTTAGAATCACCAAAACAGGAAAAAGAAAACGAGAAAGAAAAGGATGATAAATCGCCTGCCAAATCGTTGCGCGATTTCATTACTTATTCGGAGCCATTGACACCTATGCTTCAAGAAGTGATTGAGGATTTTGCAACTGACGAAGAACGCGAAGGGTCGGATACAGAAACACGAATGGAGATTGCTGAAGACGTGAACACTGATAAAAATCCAAAAAATTCAAATGGCCATATCTCTGATGTACGTGTGGAAATAAGCTCGGAGGCTGATGACATGAGTACCAATGAAGATATGCAAAACGAACCTCAGGAAGTGGACAAAAAACAACCCGCTAAAGAAGTTTCAAATAAAAACATAAAAGAATTAGAAGAAAGTGTAAAAATATCAAATAGTAAAACTGATATATCCGCTCAGGAAGTCATAGAAATTGAGGATACTGATAACTGTGAAATTCAAAATAATAAAAATGAAACAACTGGAAAACATGTTCTGGATAATAAAGAAAACAAAAACTCGAAAGAAATTGTTCCAAACAACAATGACCCTGGAAACGTTGCAAATAATACTAGCGAGGACAATGTGGAAAGAGTTATTAAAAATAATGAAGAAAGAGCTATAACATCGCAAATGACATGCAGCCAGAATGACTCCAGTACCACAGTTGATACCTTACTTCCAAATAATCAAGAGGAGTTAAATATTGAATCTGTGGCAACAGTATCTGATTCTGTAAAGAAAACTATTAGCAAAGAGTCCCAACCAAAAAAATTAACATTAAATAAAAATTCTGACAAATATCCAAAAAAACGTGCCAATTCTCAAGAACCAACAGTATCAAAGAAGAAAAGACAAGTAATAAATGAGAGTTCTAAGAAAATATCGGTATCTGACACTGATGCTGCAATAAAACAAAATGCTAAGCTGAAAACAGATAAGGCTATGCTTGTTGCTAGTCACAAACAAAAAGTAAATATGTTGCAACGTTCTAGTAGGGAGAATCAAAAAGTTTACTCTTTAAAAGAGGATGTGAAAGACTTACAAAGAGTAACAGAAGAGAAAATAGATGAGAACTGTAAGGAAGAAACCAACAAAAGTAAAGATCAAGAAATACATGTTGATAACAGTAAAACTGATGTCATCAATTCCAGTGTTGAAAACCCATGTTTAAAGAGTGTTAGTCTATATGATGAGCAATTTACTTCAATGAAATATTCTGAGTCCAGCGATGCAGCTACCACCAACAAAAATATTCACCAAGATTCAAAAGGCGATAACAAGAACAGTTCCGATGACGTAATAGCGTTAAAATCAAATTCAGAAACCGATAACAATGAGATTAGGAAAAAGAAGAAAGGCACACCTGTTGGCCATGTTGTGCCTAAATCAGAAAGGGAAAAGGCTTTAGCAAATGTATTTGGATTTTCTAGCGGTAAGTTTAGAATCCGTGGCCTGGCATGAATCAATATAATTATTTTATGACATAAATTACGATAATACACTTATATTTGATAAAATTTCAGTATTTGCAAGATAGCTTAAGAACTGACGAAATAAGTGTCACCTTGGCCTTAAATTTTGTTGGTATATGTTTCTATTTACAACTATTTATTGTAAAGTAATTTTTTCAAAAGATTCCGTAAAAAATATTTTATCAAGATTTCGAATACAGATAAAATCAGCCATGATTAAAAGACAGCTTGCAATGGTACGAAATATTGTAGTGCGGAATCACTATCATCAAATCCCTTCATATTTAAGTAATCTTATTTTTAGTCCACTTATGTCTAATATTCTTTTTAATTTAATAATTGATTTTTCTTTAAATTTTGAGACTTTAATGAAAGGCCCATGACTACTCAAGATACTGAACCCGAAAACTCAATAAAAGGAAATATGTTACTGGAATAAGTTATCTATCGTTAGTTAGTGGTAATCAAACAAAAGAGTGACTTTCAATATGTATTATTTATAATCTATATTGAATAAAAAAGTTTCTGTTTCTGTTATCTTTTGCTTTCCCTTATTTTTAAGAGTTATGAATTACATAAGACAACAATGTAATTTGTGAGTTAGGTGATAATATAGCCCTATATTTTTAAGGTGCCGTAGCAAGCAGTCGAAAAAGGCGTTTTAGTTATCAGAACAGATCTACGAGGCGACAATCACAGTAAGTGTTTTTCTTATATTAGGTTATACATAAAATTTGTCCTATATAAGAGAGACTCTGACTCTGTCTCTCTTACGTCTGCAGTCTGAACACGTACAGGATCGCCCCCGTCACTACATTAGATTTGCTAGACCACAAAACCACGTTAAACAACACCGATTCCTTCCAAGGTGATTCGTGAGGATATTAAAATCAAAAAACATCCTAATTTCAGTAGAGAAGATGACTGGGTGCTACCATCTGATTGGGATCCTATAATTAATAAAATTAAATCCAACTCAAGCATAGATCGGAACAAAAAAAAATTAATAATTTTTAATCTGGAGGTAGCCATGGTTAACTATGACATTGGGAAGTCAAACACCTCATGCCATGGGTTGACCAGGGGTGGTATAAAGTATTTCGAAACGTCGGGAATATAAAATAAGTTTAATATATGCGATAAAATCCGTAGCAGATTTTTACTAATTGCATATGAAGGTACATACGGTACTTTAAACAAAATTTTAAATTTTGTCTGTCTGTTTGTACCGGCTAATCTCCGAAATGGCTGGACCGATTTTGACAGGGCTTTCACTGGAAAGATCTCTTTCCAATTCTTTTAAGACATGATTGATCATAATCTACCACAATAATTATCCTGTGAGCAGAATCTTTTTTTAATATTTTTAATTTGATTTAATAATGATATAATTTGAATAAATAATATGTAGGCATAAATACTACATAAATATATAACTAACATAGTTATTAAGTAAAATTGTTACTAATATACTTACACTTAATATGGACTAATTATGTCTGAAATAAAGTTATATTATTATTATTATACAGGTTGTTTTTGGAACGCTCCCGAAAACTAAGACAGGCGACAACACCAAGTATACCTTTGATCATGGGTCACAAATAAATTCGATCCTGATGAAAAAAAAATCATCTTTTTACAAGGTTTTATTAGCTTTATTCACGCGCCATCATGTTAGTACAGCTAAATGAAACGATAATTTCATAAAAAATATCATGAAAATACTGAAACATAAAACCAGCAGTGGAATGACTGAATTGATATCACCTGACCTGAGCTAGATAAAGGTCAATGTACGCGCGAACACAAATTCGCGCGGCCCGCAACTAGCGGGCCTTCCCACAATACCTAATAATTTACAACACGTGTCTAAATACCTAACTTATCTACTTAACCTACTATTTTGCCACTGTGCTTATCTCCACGTAGCCACTTTAATCCGAATTTACAGGTTAAATAACCCAAATAACTGGTTCGATTCCCCGCTAATGAAGAAATACTTAAATGAAATGTAACCAAGGTTGGAGTCATGCGTTTTTATTCATCGTGTAGGTATGTTTATTATTCTCGTGTATTCAGTTATGTACCTATTCAGATTAGTCTAGTACTAAGTTATTTAAAAAAAAATAGTTATGAAACAGCTTACTGCTCTAAATCCTCCGTAGTCTTATGAGATGCGGCTCAAATTGTGCTCCATTCATTTCAAGGCAGACTTGGGTGCAGGCGGGGCATCATCGTGTGGTCTTCGACACAGTCCGTACGTAGTTTCTCGAAAGCATCCACGATCCTTTGGCGCATTTCTTCAGCACTATCACATTCACGATTAAAAACCCTTTCTTTCACATACCCCACAAAAAGAAGTCTAACGGAGTCAGATCTGGTGAGCGAGGTGGGCAAGCGTGTGGTCCTAGTCTGCCGATCCAGCGATCATCAAATAGCTCATTGAGGCGCTCACGGACGAACCTCACGAAATGTGGAGGGGCACCATCATGTTGGAACTATGTGCGGCGATATTCAGCCAACGATAGGTCGTTTAAAATGTCAACCAACTGTTCATTTATAAAGTTTAGGTATCGCTGTCCGTTCAGTCGCTCTGGCAGAAACACTGGTCCCAGTATGCGATCCTTAAATAAACCTGTCCATACGTTAACCGACCATCGGGTTTGGTGCCCGGTTTGTCGAACAGCGTGCGGGTTAACCTCTGAATACACGTGTGTATTTCTTCGGTTCCACAGGCCGTTTCTGGTAAATGTCGACTCATCCGTCCAGATAATGTGATCAATGGAACCAGGCACACGTTGTTGCTGATATAATAACCAACGGCAGTATAATAACCACTATAAACGTACGCGTTAGGCATTATTAAAACAAAAAAGAATCCAAAAACGTAACAAAAACTTTAATATCAACACGTAATCACAAGTAAATTTATTAAACAAAACGATTGAACTGTCGCTCGCGCACGCGTGTACAAAATCAACACCTGAAACCTACTGCGTCACAAGCGTGAGGCGACAGGGTTAGGCATTCTGTCGTCATAATAAAAAAGGAAGTAACTAACAAAAACGTAAAATGGAAATAAAAAATAAATTGATGAATTTTTCTTTCAGACCCCGTGTCTAAAGTATATTAAAAGGTATCTATATTGAAATATATACGTAGAGACATGAAGATTTTAAGGACGAACTTATTTTTTTTTTAATTTGTTTATTTATTTAAATAAAACGAATTTTCCTCTTCATCTTAGATTAAAAAATACACCTGGCAACACAAAAACATCGAAGGAAAGACGCATATAACTATTTGGGTCTTCCCAACCTAATAAATAAAACAAAACTACCATTCATTTAACATTTTTACATATTTTGGAAAGGTCATTTGAAGTTGAGAGGACGCTAATAGTAATTTACTACTTTTTTCTTAGTAAATATTAGAAAAGCATTGGTAGTGAGACACAAAAAATAACAACCCGCAACTCTTGAGTAATGATTTTAAAGGGGATATCATACAAGACTTACTACGATAATAATTAAAAATTAAAACATTTGTACAACCGACTTTAATATAAATAATTAAGGATAACTCAAAAACTATTGGTCTGACCTCGATCAAATTTATATGGGACCACATGTGAAACACCAGCTCTTAATAATAAGATATAAGCTCTTAATAATAAGATATAAAATAATAAGACAAGAATAATTTAAATTTAAGTAATCGATGCAAATATTGTTAAAGATGACGTAGCAACTGGTTAAATAAGTCTTTTCTTTTATGTTGAATTTGTATAAGTCTTTTCAACTAATAAAATGTCATCTGTGATCAACAGCTACGTCTAAAATTCTGACGATAATTTCTAAAATATTGATATTAGTGAATATTAAAAAAATTTAGTAGATGCGTCTTCTTATCATGAGTCGAATGGTATATTTAACTCATTTATTCGAAAATTGTTAGATGCGCCCTTTTTTCTTATGACCGTAGCATTGCTTCATACCGAGCTAGATACAGGTCGACAGCGGAGTGAGTGTGGGTACAGTCGCGTTCTAAAGTACTACATGGTATTGGGCTATTGTTTTATAATATTATAGTAATTAATTGTTTTATTGTAGAATCATAATAGGTGTTTTACTAGCTACTTAGAACTTTGGAAGAGGTGGGAATTAAAAATAGATAATGTTTACTTGAGCATTGTTTGTTATTTCTATCGTAAAATATAAAGTAGTTTGTAACAAAAAAACTTAAGCTAAGGGTGACACGCCGTCCATTATGACGTCTTGGGTCACATGGAAGCTAGATGTTGATGGTGTGTTGGTGTTACTGGATGCTACTTCATCATCACTTTCATCTTCGCTTGAGCTTCCGTCATCAGGTCGATCACATGGTAATTTTTTCGGTATTCTTCCTCAACAATTTTAACTTTACTGCACAATTTTCCCCATTCACTTTTTCTTTCACTAGTTTAGTCATAAAACAATAGATATAAATAATTTTTTTTCCTTCCTTTTTAAAACATCGTCGCGAGTCGCAAAGTAAGCTGTGTATGCGACTGTATTTTTGGAGCGAACAAAGCGCGGGAACCAATAGCATGCAGGCACAGTAATACTGGCCAATATGTGATAAATCGCTCAGTGCCCAAGTTCAAGGCCAGCGTTCTTTTTTCACCGTTCGCGCGTACATTAACCTCCATTAGTCAGGTGATATCAATTCAGTTTCCACTGCTGGTTTTATGTTTCAGTCTTTTCATGATTTTTTTTATGAAATTATCGTTTCATTTAGCTGTACTAACATGATGACGCGTGAATAAAGCTAATAAAACGTTGTAAAAATATGTTTTTTTTTTCATCAGGATCAAATTTATTTATGACCCATGATCAAAGGTATACTTGGTGCTGTCGCCTGTCTTAGTTTTCGGGAGCGTTCCAAAAATACCCTGTATATAAAGGAAGGTAAATTAAAATGAAAATATTTTTTCTTAATTTTATAATAATTTGTTGCAGCACTAAAATCAGCTCCGAGTCAAGCGAATGGACGTCTGAGACAGATTCGGAATTTATTTCTCCACCGCGTGGGAGACGAAATAGGCATACCAAGAAATATTTGTAAGTTGCATTATTAATTTAAAGAAGAGTATATAATATACTTACGATTATAACTTATTAATAGATTTAATTTATTAACGGTAGATGTGTACCTAGTTTTATTGCAAGCAAGAATGCACTAATTTGAGAATTCCTTCCCGTGCAATAATAATAATAAATAATGTCCTCCAGACCGAATTTCGGTCACGGTGGCCAGTCTCAACGTCTAGTCTACTAGCCATCTGCACAGGGCAACATTCTTGTTCCAAAGTGTATGCACAAGCACAGGTGCACTTTTTATTTCCTCATTCTCATAGTCGTCTGATGGGACGGTAATTCGACACGACCGTAGAGAGATCAGGCGCAGGACCAACAGCTTTACGTGCTTTCCGAGTCACGGGGGTGAAACAACGCCAACTTCTTAACTCCGGACTACTAGTAAGAATTTCTTGACAGAAAAACACTGTAGCTGATTTTGACCCGACCCGGGATTCAAACCACTAGAACAACGAGGCAGTCGCTGCGTGCATTGAAATATTGTTACGACAGTCAGTTGCATGTTGTGTCACGTTTACGCCATAAATTTCCTGAAACTATGCACTCGGGTAGAAATGATTACGATCAGTCTTTATGTCGAAACATTGGGTATATATCGGAAAATTAATTATTTCGGGAATGCAGCAGTGGACTCGGTAACTTCAGAAAACAACTATAAAGCCAAGAGCTTTGTGTGTCTCTCTCTCTCGCTCTCTCTCTCTCGCGCTCTCTCTCTCTCTCTCTCTCTCTCGCTCTCGCTCTCGCTCGCTCTCTCTCTCTCTCGCTCTCGCTCGCTCGCTCTCTCTCTCTCTCTCTCGCTCTCGCTCGCTCTCTCTCTCTCTGTGTGTGTGTGTGTGTGTGTGAGCGCGCGCGCGTGCGTGCGTGTGTGTGTGTGTGTGTGTGTGTGCACGTGCGCGCACGCACACGCGCGTCTGTGCGTGTTTGTGAATACGCCCGGGAATCGTAAATCCTTATACAATTAATTATAATAATAAATTTCCCTTTAAGTAAATTCGTATCTGAATTTCCGATTTCATAATCTTAGGTTTTTCTTTTATAGCAACTAGCCTATTTTGGCAAGACTAAAAGGAATTCTTTTACCTACATGCCGAAATAAATAAGAAGTGGTTTTTCTATGATACTCGAATATTTTATATTTTAAATACTATGGATATACCATATGGCCAAATACTCAAACGCTTTAAATTAATTTTTTATTTTTTAATAATTTATTATTAACGCAAAAATTTAACAGTGGTAGAGCCACGCGGCAGCTTTTGCTGTCGCACGGATGGGCCGGCTCGAACCGGGGTGGTACCACGACCTCACAGAAAACCAGCGTGAAGTAGAGGTTTACCTCTGCGTTTCGCTGGGTGAGTGCAGGTGGCCGGAGGCCCTTTTTAATGGAAATGAGGCATTCCATCTTAGTCCTCACGGGTGACAACGCATCTACATTTTGATTTGTAATAGAGGATAGATGTAGATGTCTATGGGCCGCAGCAACCACTTACCATCAGGTGGACTGCGTGCTCGTTTGTCACCCTTATCGTATAAAAAAAAAAAACGCTACTCAACTTTAAGATGTCGTTAAGTCTCATGTCACAGTCACTTTGACTTAAAGTGATAGAGTCAGCACGAGACTTAACGTTTGAGTATTTGGGCAATAAATAGTATTTAAAATATAAAATATTCGAATTTGCTGTATTTTCTTCATCAAATCATCCTAAACAATTTTTTATTAACACAAACTTTATTTTGTGGAATTTAACTCAATGATTATAAGTGCTTAGCTAGGTATTTTACATATCATGAATATGGATATCAACCAAGTAATCAAACACAATTTTTTGTTTTACAGAAAACCAAAGTCGGCAAGAATTTTATCTTTGGAAGAAGAGGGCGGTTTATTTGTGATGTATGGAAAGAAAATATATCCTGTGGTGAAGGATGGAAAAATAGTGAAAAATTACGTCACGTATTCACCGGAGCGTAAGTGTAGCAGCAGATTTCATCTTCATCGTTATTGCGGCCCATCACTATCAGCTTATATTCAAGAATCAAGCACCCATCTGTTTGTTGTCGATTCTTTGAACTATTTGGTCAGCTAATTGCCACTAACTTTCTGATCCGTTTAATTTTGTGGGTGACTCTGGTTATACTGCAGATACTATATTTTTTTTTTATAAAACCTGATGGTAAGTGAATTCAAATAAGTATGGTTACAAGTATGTTGTCACCTCAGAAGACTCAGATTGAATGTCTGATAGCCTGCAATTATATTGGAGATACTTATCTCTTTAGGCCAGAACACAGCAGGCACTGCTATTAGAAATCTCATCAATCAAAATAATAGCTTTTTACTTAATCCATATGAAAGTATAGACAGTAATTATAACAAAAATAGATAATTTATAAAAAGATTTAGTCTGTCTATAGTAAACTAGGCTACTTTTATTTTAGAAAAAGAATTAGGGTACCGCACAAAAAACTTAAAACCCATGAAATTTAATCGCAAATAATTTTACGCGGACTAAGTCGCGGGGAACAACTAGTAGTTAATAAGAGTGGTACCTAGTACCTACCCAAATGAACTTCTAGGTAGAAAAAAAAGTAGTCTTTCCACCCTACTATCATCAACAACGCTGATTCCTACATACTAAGTTATTCCAAGCATAAATCGCTCCACAGCTTCCTGTGTGACTTCTAGCTTCTTTATACAATCAGCAGTGAAGAATAATGCATAAACAGTTTTATAGAAAGAAAAACTAAATACGTAATTCCTAAGCGTAGCCTAAGTTACTCCTTATGAAATCAGCTATCTGCCAGTGAAAGTCCCGTCAACATCGGTCCAGCCGTTTCGGAGATTACCCGGAACAAACAGACAGACAGACAGACAAAAATTTTAAAAATTGTATTTTAGTTATAGGTATCGTATTTACTTTCATATGCATTTAGTAAAAAACTGTAATTTTGACATTACAAACAGACACTTCAATTTTATTTATTTGTATAGATTATTTAGAATTAATAGCTTTTACTCGTGTGGGGGTCGGAAAAGAGTTCATTTTGAGAAATCACAGCCAATTTGTTATTGCAAGACCTAAGACAGCATAAATAGCTTAGCTTAGCAATTAGTTGTAGCACTGGGGGCCGCGGGAATCTGCACTCGCACATAGAATCCCGCACGTAACAAGTATTTGTATGGCCTACAAATAATTATTCCAGGTTTGGATTATTGTCCTTGTGAAATTTATGTATGTAAACTGTCTCAAAGATACAAGAGAAAATCTAAAAAAAAAATTGAGAATTACGCTCTAGATCTGTCCTACATTTTTCTGGGATAAAAAGTAGCCTGTCACTCACCGAACAAAAACTATCCTTTAGTAAATGATGTTGATCCGTTGTTCCGTTGCTGCTTGAAAGAACAACAAACACACTTTTGCATTTATATTAATATTGAGATTTGAAAAAACACTACTTCTCACTTTTATAATATCTTATGGTGGCTGTACACGCTCGTCGAGACACCACGAGACAGGCAGAGTACGAGTGTGTACATGGTGCCCTTGTCGCGTCTCGCGGCCCTCGTTCGATCTCGGAAGCGTGTCGGTTTTTTGCGCTCGTATCAAAAGGTCTCGTGAGTCTCGCGAGGAAAACGAGAGCGCCCCTGTACACACTCGTTCGTTTTCCGTTAATTATAAAAATTATCAAAAAATGGTTCAATATTGTTAAATACAATATAGGAACTTACATGGTTCTATTACAGTGAATAGAAACCATCCACCATGGCTTATTAATATTTTTTTTATTGGAAATAATATGTAAAAAATTATAATAAAAAATAGCAACGGCAAAAACACTGCAACAGTTTCTTCTACGTCCATCGCAGTGGGGATCCGGAGTTCAAGTGATACAACGAGTTAGTACATGGTGTGCTCTCGTGTCGAATCTCTACGCGACAAGAGGCACGCGAGGCGACGAAACGAGCGTGTAAAGTCGCCATTATATTTGGTTTATCTATGAAGTAAATACTAGTGAAAATTATTTTATTACAGGTGATTCGGAGGATGAACAAGAATCATATTGGAAGCTCAAGTATATAGAGGAAAAGAAACGTACATCGAAATTGACAAAGTAATATTCCACTTTTTTATTATGATTATTATTATTAGTGTGGTGTAAGATTTATTTCGTCCTCTATGCACCACAGCTACTTGACTGTGTGCTCGTTTGTCACCTTTATTCTATAATAAAAAACTCATGAATATCATCAGAATATTATTAAACATAAAACTAATTTTACGTTTATCCAAAAGGTAAAATTAGTTTTATTCCATTTAAAGATGAAGACTTCATTTTCCTACTATACTTTTGATACTTTATTATTATTTTGAGAACACTACAACAAATACAAATTTTATTAAAATGAAATGAAAATTTATTAAAAATAAAAAAAATCTATCATTGATTTTTCGAAATTAACAGCTTCCTTTCCACATTTTCTATAAATTATTTACTATAGTCTTATTACCATTGCCATGTGTATTTTTTGTAGATTGCTAAGCCACACAACCGACGACGATCCACAATCCAACGAAAAGGGTGTTACATCTGATGCAACGAAGCCTAGTCCGCCTAAGTAAGTGTGTAATTTAATTTGTATTCTATAATTTGCTGTATTTTTGTGCTACTAATTTTTAAAATTTATCACTTATTTTTATTTATTTTTACTTTATTCATTACTTTAATATTATTAACATTACTAATGTTACTGTTAACCACTCCCAAGTATCTGGCTGATTGTGTTAGGGGTGATTCACGACAGTAGTCGAATGGAGGATTTGAAGCCACAACTTTCCCAGTGCAGTCTGCGCCCTTAACAATTAAGCTACTGTCACCTTAAAATAAGCCAACATTATTTGAAAAATGACAACCTCTTGTGCAATTGGTTCAATCCGCTGATTTTCGGAATGATGGCGGGAATTCCGTTCAAAAATGCCGATCCCGAATTTTACAGAATGGAGGCGGAGTTACATTATGATAGCATCGGCTCTGTACTTAAACCCACATTTTCCCAAGCTATGTTTACCAACTGGTGCATTTTTTAGAAAAGCGTGATGTGACGTATACTCGATATCTTTTACTATTATATCTCTTACATACTAGTCAAAAGTAGTAGAAAGTTGATGTAACGAGAAGATGGGTAAGCGTTTAATTTCATAGTAAGCAAGTATAAATCGCGGCACGTAAGTTGAACTATGAGCTTGTATGCGCAGTAACACATTTTCGGGTCTCAATAGAAGTGCGGTATGAGGTGCGTCGCGCGTAACCATAGCAACGTGGCGGCGCTAGACCCCACTCAGTCGCACTCTGTCCCTCGCTACCCGCGCACTCACCGCGCGGCCCTGGAGTACAATCGCGTACGAAGTTTTCTACTCTTTGACATTTATAATTATGTCGATTGCGTGATCATTTAATTTAATTTGAAAAGAATGACTCGACCACAACCAACTTTAAGGAGACAGGGGAGAAGAATGATATTTGATGTTTATAATTATTTATTAAAAGAAAATAATATAACTGATTCTCTGAATAAAACTGCGGAAGCTACGAAAAAGTCTGTATCCACAGTTAAAAGGATTGTTAAAGAAAGTAAAAGTTCAGAGTTTATAGTTACTTTTAGGACCCCTGGTAAAAAGAGGCAACGAATAAAGCCAGTCACAGGCATAGACAATTTTGACAAGGGGTAATAAAACGATGTATTCACAATTTTCATTTAACTGAAAACGAATTATCGACCCTTGGTAAACTTCGTGCAAAATTACGTGCCGATATAAAATTTCAAGGTTCTGAAAAAAGTCTTCGTCGCATTATTAAGGAACTTAGATTTAAATGGAAAGCCACCGAGAATAATAGGAAAGTTTTAATAGAAACATCAGCCATCAGATTGTTAAGAATAAATTACTTAGAAAAATTAAGACAGTATCAACAACAAAACAGACCAATTGTATACACAGATGAGTCATATGTTCATGCTACTCACACCACACCGAAAGGTTGGACAGATGGGTCAAGTAAAGGAATAAAAAAACCCTTATCAAAAGGGCAACGTGTTGTGATAGTACATGCCGGATCGGAGACTGGTTTTGTGCCTAACGCCTTGTTAACGTTCAAGTCAGGTATGAAGTCCGGGGACTATCACGATGATATGAATTTTCAGAATTATGAGAAGTGGATTCGAACTCAATTGATACCGAATCTTCCCCCAAATTCAATTATAGTTGCAGACAATGCATCATACCGTAATAAGGAATATGACTTAGCACCAAACGCGAATTCAAGGAAAGCTGATATGCAGGCTTGGCTTTCAGCAAAAGGAATAACATTTACGTCTGAAATGTTGAAGCCTCAAGTATACCAATTAATAAAAAATAACAAAGATCGCTTCAAAACATTTAGTATAGACAAGATTTTTAAAGAACATGGTCATGACGTACTTCGCCTGCCTCCTTACCACCCAAATCTGAACCCTATAGAAATGGCATGGGCAGCTATAAAGGGTTATGTAAGTAGCAAAGATGTACGATGGAATGTGCCCCGTGTTATAGAGTTAGTGGAACGGAAAGGTAAATGCAATGGGACCATGTGATTGGAAAAAGCTATGCGACAAAGTTAAGACAATCGAAGAAGCTTATGTCAAAAGCGACCATGTCATCGATAAAATGACGGAAGAATTTATAATACGGGTTGGAGATTCTGACAGCAGTGATTCTGAATTGGATTCCTCAACTGACATAGAAGATGAAATCGTAACTCCTGGCCCAAGTTCTGGTATACCACTAGGAAATCATATAGAAGGTGTCATGCCAATGAGTGAAAGTGATTAAACATGTAGATAAACAGATTAACTTTTTGATGTATTAAATTTTTATTAGTATTCCTTTAACTGTTCTATTTAATAATACCTAACAATCACAAATAAATTATGTAATAAGAAATACAATTATTTGAAAGAAAATCGAAATTATTTTTATGAAACTTCATTTTTTGTTTAATTAAATTACTTCACTTCATTTTCACACTTATTAAAAAATATATTTAAATACGACGAATTCACGGTTTTTCCTTTAAGATTTTTGAATTTTTCAGGCAACCGTGGAGCATGTGTCTAACATTTTTGTCCATAATTGTACCTGCGCAAACGACCGCCATTTTAGTTCAACTTACGTGCCGCGATCTATAACCATGATTTGATTACTAGTAAAACAATTTCAAAACATTTATCTCAATTTTAAGGGCTGGCTTACCACATGCCAAACATTGAAGGCAAACGTCGTTATTAAACCTGCCTGTCCGGGGAATTAAAATATTTCTATGCTGCATACATATATACATTGAAGTTACACTTTTTTTTTTAAAAACATAAAAAAAACATAAACACTCACGCCTGTCACCCAGAGGGGTAGGCAGAGATTATGGACTTCCATTTGGCACGATCCTGACACACCTCTCTCGCTTCCTCCACATCCATATACCTACGCATACACGCTCGTCGGTTAAAGGTACTCTTGATTTGACCCATTTTTAATATATCGCCAATTTGGTCGATAAACTTTCGCCTAGGGCGACCCTTCCCGACTATGCCGTTCACCTCTGCAACATAAATTTGCTTTGTCACTCTTTCCTCATTCATTCTTTCTACATGGCCAAACCACCGAAGCATTCCTTTCTTAATCCTGGTCACAACATCATCTTGCAAACCACACTCTTCTCTTATTAAACAATTTCTCACTCTGTCATTCAGCTTCATCCCTAATATACTCCTTAATGACCGCATTTCTACAGCATTTATTCTACTCTCATGCTTCTTCTGCCACACCCAACTTTCACTACCATACATTAAGGTAGGTAAGGTAGGTTAAAGTAGGTACTAACACAGCATTGTGAATTGCCATACGTGCCTTTTTGGACACATTCTGACTTTTCACAATAGAGTGTAGAGCCCCATTCATTTTTTTTTAACAAGGACAAAATTCATTCAGGGATTATACCTGTGTCTAGCAGTTAAACACATTTGACGGATGTTACTTTACCTTAATAGCAATGACCCACATTGCATTAAAACATGTTAAATGATTTAAAAACTGATAACCCCAATGTTCGTTTCAGAAAGCCCAAACTGATAACAGATGAAAGTGAATCAAAAGAAAAAAAATCTGGTATGTATTAAAAATATAATGTCATGGTGAAATTGAAGCTGCCATATACATTCCTTTTTTGTTATTGTAGGACAAGAAGTAGTTTTGAAGGAACATTCGGATATTCCACATCCTGCCTCTCCCATAGACAAGACATTAAAAATTAAAATTGTGAGACAAAATGAGGTAATAATGAAGAAAGTACTTATACTTTTATTTAGTTGTAGAATTAAATAATATATTTATGTATACAAGTGTAGAATTAAGTGTCACATAATAATATAATTTTAAGATAAAATAATCAAGTTAGTAAATTTATATAATTATAAAATATCTTCTAAATAAGTAAAATAATCCACCAGTCAACATCCAATCTACTATTCAAGCAGGCCGCTATTGAATGTGCCCTACCTATGTCAGCGTGACATGCTGAGCCCTTAACCGTTTTTCATAAGCATGTACACAATCACTATGTAAATCTTTGAGTTTGTGCCATTTATATGCCGACATTTTATATTTATTTTTATATATTATATGGATATACATTGTTATTAATATTCCGTTTTTGCATCACCAAACTACACAATGTCCATCTAAAGGTTGTCTGTAAGAAATCGCTATTTATTTATTATTAACTATTATTTATTTCTTATATCGTGCATAATATACACTAATGATGTAATGAATCAAGTTTCTGACCTTCACAATATGGCACAAATAATTAGACTGGCACAGTTTAGGTTACATTTGTAGATGTTTTATTTCATTTGAGCTATATATTCAAAATATACAGGGTTATTTTTTAAAGATCACCCAAATTTACTAATTAAGTTCAAAATATAAATACTGATATACACTTTTTGCAGTTTTGAAAAGTACGCTTAAATAAGGTTTCTACATTTTTTTCAAAATATCCGAATATGAATGTGATTTATGGGCAACAACGACGCGCGCTCGTGTGTACGAAGTCAATGCACGGAGCCTACTATTTACACCTTAATGACACGCTCGCTACATAGTTGATAACTGATAACTGTCATAATAAATACAATTAAAAAAATACATTTCATCGACGACTGGAAATAGAAAGTTCTAGTAAAGCTATGCAAATAAAAAGTTCTGCACACCTCGAATTAAATAGTATTTTTACTCCAACCCAAAAGACAGTTCGAAATACAAGTTTAGACTACAGAGCAAGGGAAAGAGGTGGAGAATAAATGTAAACAATTGGTTGTAGAAAAGATAGTTGAGCTGGAAGGCCAATGATAGGTTAGCGCTGAAGGCGTTTAAAGCAGTCCGCGAAGCTGGCTGGTTAAAATTCTTATTTCTGCTATAACTCCGCCTCCTTTGGAGGTTCGTACACAGTCTTTACTTCTCGCATCCCAGTAGTTTCAACTAGAATTACGTCAAAAGTTTTGGCGACAGTTTTTAGAGAAGTTGCATGGGATTGTGTATCTAGTTTTTTATTAGTGACCGATGTGTTCAATATACATATTCAATAATTCTAAAACTGACAGAAATTGTATGTTGTTGTATTACAGACGTAACCGATGACTATCTTTATTATGGCGTATTTAAAAATTGGAATCAAGTATTTACAACTGTTAACAATTTAAAACGATTAACAATAGTTAATCGTTTTAAATTGTTCAACATCTTAAATATGCAATCACTTAAAATAAAACTAACTTACTGATATTTTAAATTTTAATAGGTGTTCAAAATGGAGTCCGTTTCTCACAATGCACAGTTCAGCACGTTTCCTTAAATTATTTTTCACATTAATTACATGTGTCTGAGCACTTTTCAGTTCCCTTGAATGCAGCAATTATTTTGCTGCGCCGGTCGTCATAGCTTTGGGCCTCTTCGACGTAAACTTGTTTCTATTTCACCCCATAAATAAAAGTCTAGTGGTGTAAGGTCCGGTGACCTTTCAGGCCATGGTATAGGGCCGCGGCGCCCAATCTCCATATTCGCTATTCAATTAATCACGCACTGCACTTGAATAGTGAGGCGGAGCACCGACGTGTTGGAAATTAAAATTATTCAGTAACACTAGGGGTATATCGTCCAGGAAATCTAGAATAACACCTTGTAACGTACCCAAATATTTACCACCTATTAACCGTCTTTCAATGAAGTACAGATCCACAATTATGTTATCAATAATTCCGGCCAAAACATTTACACTAAATCGCACTTGATGATAACTATCTTTTATAGAGTATGCTAATACTGCCCACTAATGTTCGTTGCGACTATTATAATGCTCTATACGCGTAAATAGAGCTTCGTCAGTCCACATAATGTTAGTATTATCAATTTTTGACAACAACCATTCGCAAAAATGTTTTCGAGGTAGACCATCGTTATTATTCAGTGCTTAAACACGTTGGTAATAAAATGGGTGATATTCAGAAGAATTCAGTAGTTTCCAGACGTAGTACTGGCTGTGACAAGTAATACTACCTACGAAAATTTAAAAATAGGACCATCTGTACTTAATGAGGTCACGATCAAGTCAACACTGTCGGATGTCGGCCGGCTTCTTAAATTTTCTTTTCAAATGCTCTTGGGTGGCTTTTTCGAATCCCAACTCAATTAATTCGTAAAACAATGAAGGTGTCTGCCTTTGCGTTTTTTTTAATTACAGTTATTTGTGTCAAACAGCTCCCCATTTTTTTATACACACCCAAGAAACTAATTATATCGTAATTTCCCCATTTTAGATAATTGTTTATCGGTTAACTCATTTGATTGACCTACACACACGTATCATGCAGCAACGAAACGACCTATGCACAGGCGTGTAGTCTGGAGCGGAATGGCTACACGCAGCGAGTACCCTGTCACACACAGCGAATTCTCGCAGCGAGTGCTCATTCGCAGAGAGTAAAATTGAACATGTTCAATTCAATTCGCAGTGAATTCAAGTCGTGGCGAATGAATCTAATCGCGGCGAATAACCTGCCACACATAGCGTATTCTTGATTAGGCCCTTGCAGCGAGTATTTACTATGTGTGACCGAGGCTTTAGATACCTAAATCTGTAACCGAGTGCGAGCGCTTGCTTCGGAACTCAACACTTGCTTACGAATGTGTGCGTGCGTATAAAATAGTACTCGCTTCTTATTTATGAATGACAAGCAATTAAATAATGCATTTCCACACATTTTGAATATAAAGGATAAAAAAGATAAAATGTTTCAGTTTTTTCATGTTTAATTTCTTTTTTACCATTCGCGTATGTTATCTATTCTGAACCTGTTCTGCAAATTTGGCCGATTATTGCAAAATAACCCTGTATATTACTTCTATTAATCTATTAAAGAACTTTTTAAAAACGGTGGAAACAATTTTTTTAGAAATTGTACGAGAATATGATTTTAAGATTTTATAGTCAAATAATCATCTTATTTGTATATCTTTTAAATACTAAAAACGTCAATTAAAATGGACAACCGACTAAGTTTCGTAAGAGGCAACTGAAAAAAACTAAAACAGAAGATAGCCAGCAGCATCTTCCTGATAACAAGGCAAATTAACGAAAAAAAAACAACAAACAATAAAGTTGTCAATCATCTCGATGTGGCAATCTATGGGAGAGACACATAGATTGCCCGGATAGCAGTTGCCTTTTCTAGGCTGTAATGGATGGATGAACAATCAACCAATTTGCAAAACCCTGTTCTTACTAAACATAGCAAATACTAATTATGTGATGTAATTATTTATTAAAATTAGAGAAGTCTTTACTCTATGATTTTTATACAAGCATAGAGAGTTAAAAATTGGTGGTAACGTAGTTTATAAATAATTGATCTTTTAAAACAATTTTTTTTTAATAGGATATGTGTGACAAACGAGCTCACAGTCCACCTGATGGTAAGTGGTTGCTGCGGCCCATAGTCATCTACATCTATTCTCAAATGAAAATGCAGATGCGCTGTCACCCGTAAGGACTAAGATGGAATGCCTCATTTCCAGTAAAAAGGGCCTCCGGCCACCTGCACTCACCAAGCGAAACGCAGAGGTAAACCTCTACTTCACGCTAGTATTCTGTGAGGTCGTGGTATCACCCTGGTTCGAGCCGGCCCATCAGTGCGACAGCAAAAGCCGCCGCGTGGCTCTACCACTGTTAAAATTCTTTTTATTAAATGTATTGCTTCGTTCAAAGCAACTTCTACTCAAATAATTTAGTAATAATGAACTATGTTAGGTATATTTGTATTAATCTTGTTTAATTAAATAACTTGAATTATCATAAATCAGTACAATACGATGTTGCTAAATTTTGTTTGTAGTCAGCCAGTGAAAGGAGTAAATGGACAATTTCAGTTGTGTTGTTATTGGACTAAATTTTATAGAATGTATTGTGTAACAATTTAAAAATTAAATAAAAGTAAAAATGATTACTGATAAACCTTTAATTTTTAGGAGGTACAGTTAGAAGGTCACTGGTCACAAATTCATCCAGTCTTGGACCATGTGGTGCAAATATTTCATAAGGAGGTGGAGTCTAGAACCAGTGTTAGATCTACTCCCCAACCAGAGCAACGTAAGAGCGTATCCAGTGGGATATCCACGCCTCTTATTGCTGTCCCTATAGATCCAGGTATTTGTTTACACTTTATTTACACCACTTCTTTACGATAGGTTTTTTCAGTCCACTGCTCAAGAATGCTACATTTTAAGTCCATTTCAAAGAGTTATATTTTAACCATGCTGGGCAGGTATGTACATTTTCTTTTTCGGCATAAACAGTACATTGTTGTATCTATTTCCTTATACTCAATTGAGTCGTAATTTTGTCATAATAAATTCAATATTGATACACTGATAAATCCTCAAGTGGAAGAGGCGCATTTCTAGCAGTGTTCTGTTTTTGACGATTTGTTACTAAAAATTTACAGGTTTGTTACAAAATCGGGATTAATAATCTGGTAGCTAATTTTCAGAGGTGCATGAAAAAGTGAATAAATTGGAGACAGAAATATTTCAAGAAATCGAAGCGCGTGACAAACAAGAAAAACAAAGCGAGGAATTGCCAAAACCTGTACAAGAATCTAAAGTAACTAAGAGGTAAGGTGACTTTCAGTGCTGTAAATATTTGAATAGTCGTATAGTGGCGGCATATGGCTATACTACCCTATATCATCTCATGGGTGTCGTAAGATTCGATAAGGTGAAGTAAGCGAGACTGGAACAGATGAGCTGAGATATCTTCCTGCAAACTATGACAACTATAGTTATGAATATCTGTTCTTATGTGTTAGTTAACCAGTAATCTTTTGATAGGCTTAGGTAAACTATAATTATGTGTATAATTGTATTTTCATCTGATAAAAAATATATTGTCATTAATATTATATTTAATATAGTATATTATCACAGTATAATAATAATAAACATACAGTAGGACGACGCCTTTGATCTTGTGGTAAATGCCGACAACGTCTAGACAGCGTATGGAGGTTAGGGTTGTCACAAATAAACAACTTTTACTAATTTAATGATTTATTTTAGATCTACATCGTCATCAACAGTATGATTACTAATATAAAAATAAGTAACAATTTTTTCTTAGATTTTTCCTGAAAGTACTCAAAACGTTAATTGCTCGCCTCACAACGTGAGGGCGTGCTCTACTCTCGATATGTGGCCATACCTCAATTTCGCTACATAAAATCACTCTTATACTCTTAACTAGACATCAAATCTATATTCTTATTAACGTTACAATGACTACAGACATTGAATTATTAGTTTATTTTATAATTAATTCTTTAGGCTTTCGAAAGATCTTCCAACTAATTCAGGTCTTCTAATAACTTCCATCCATAATTTGCATCTGAACTTTTTAAATACAATACTTATTAATAAATTTTCATAATTATCACCCCCAGAAACCTTAAAATTGACATCCATATTGTATGATTAAAAAAAATCCACCATCTTGGATATGAAAATTGATGCCGTTTTCGTAATTTGCACCCCCAAGAAACCTCGAAATTGACATCCATAACATTAAAAAATTATGTCCACCATCTTGGATTTAAAAATTAGTTCCATTTTCGTAATCAGCACCACAAGAAACCTCGAAATTGATACCCATATCATATTATTAAAAAATGTCCGCCATCTTGGATATGAAAATGGATGCCGCTTTCGTAATCAACACCCCCAAGAAACTTTGAAATTGACATCCATAACATTAAAAAAAATATCCACCATCTTGAATTTAAAAATGAATACCATTTTCGTAATCAGGACCCCAAGAAACCTCGAAATTGATACCCATATCATATTATTAAAAAAATGACCGCCATCTTGGATTTAAAATAAATGCTATTTTCGTAGCTAGCAACCCGACAAACCTAAAAATTGACTCCTAAATCTTAATATTTTATAAAAAACTTCGAAAGACCGAAGACGAGGCACAATAGTATCGTCTAAAACCTTAGCCTGTCCAACCACACGATTTAGATGAAGAAAAAAATCAAACTTCGAAACAGTAATGCCCAGCGATTAGTACCTATTTTTTACGTCCGCCATTTTTTTTTACGTTGGCAATTTGGCATGACATAACAAAATATACATAATATAAAAATAATAACAATATTTACTTACCTTTCTTCCGTGTGCGGGATTTGATGAAATCGCAGATCTTTATTTATGCGAGATGACGACTTGCAATCTTTCACAGCATACGTCGTATGAACCATTTTTTAATTCTAAATATCAACACTAAGTTTAAAAATTATCAAAGCAAACGCGCGTTAACCCTGGAAGTCGTGTCCCGGGCTACTAATACGATTGGCATGAGCAGCTCGGGCTCGTCCTTCCCGCGTCTCACCCCTCACATCCCGCACGATTGCCCTGTCTAGACGTCGTCGTCGGAAGACTGTATGGATTTATAGGCTGTGATATTATGTAATAAAATTTGCAATAATAATATAATAAAATATATGAATTTTATTTATTATGTTAAGGAGAGGAAGACCGAGAAAAAGCATATCACAAAGCAGGGCACAAAGTCCAGAAAAGAAACCAAATGTACCAATGCCATCTCCGAAATTGCAAATTGAAGAAAATGCTGAAAAATTGCCACCTGCTAAAATTGAAAATGAAACGGGTGCTTCTTTAACAAGGAGGACAAGGACTCCTAAAAAAGTGCTTCATGGTATATAAAATATCATATAATCTTAATACACACAATATGAATAACTATTATTTTAATATGCCATTAATTAATTAAATTTTTCTTTGTCTTAAGGGTGTAACCCTTTCAGCGTAACTTATAAAATATCAACTAACTGTAAAAATAAGTAATTTAGGGTAAGCAGTATAATGATTGGCACTTTAAGCGGATTTCTACTTGTAAGTGGTTAATTCTCGTAAATAAACATATTTGTTATATTTTTTATTGTTTTGTTGGATTTTAGTTTAGATAGCCATAAATAAAATAACGCATTACGTTTAAAAAGAAATGTTTAATTAAGTTACAAATCTAATTAAACTTTTCTCTAGGGAATGTTACAATCATTGGCACTTTAGCATAGAGAATGGCACTGTAAATTAAGTATAATCATTGGCACCATTGGTAGTCTTAAAAAGTTATACCCACATCTTTCTAAGCTCCATCTTATTGTTATAACACTTATTTTGAACAGATCTTCTTCAAAAATTCTCCTTAGATCTTCATCTGAAAGCGGTTTCGTTTGTCTACCATGTTTTTTTCTTTCTTCGTATACATTTTTGATGTGACTTTTTTAGTAAAACCTTTCGTATTTTCTCGATATTTTGTAGAAATAGAACTTTATTTCGGTATTTTAAATTAAACATTTAGAGAGTATTATAATGTCAGAGTTTTTGGCTTCGTTCTTCTTGTTTTGTTTGTCAGTTTGTTTCTATATTTGGCTGACTTATTCAATTCTGCATTTTCCATTTGTGCCCCATTTTTCCATTATATTTTTAGCTCCGCTGCTTCCGAATCTTCACTTATTAGCACAAAATAACGGCGTTGTTTACCTGCTTTTTGTTTTTTGATACGTATTTGGCAATGGAAAAAACTCTATAAATATTTTTAGGGCTTTCTAAAAGATTTTAGTTTATTTCGACATCCACAATAACCCATTCACCTCCAACAAATTCTAAACTTGCAGCCTAGTTGATGAAAAACATAAGGGTTAGTTTTCTTTCTGATACTCAACAATAATCTCTGCAGGTTGTATAAGCTCTGGTACTGATAAACCATTATTAAGTGAAACAAGGCAAATTTGATACAGGTATTTCTGATTCAGTCGTTATTAGTCGTTATTCTTAAAATATTAGGTAATTCGGCGTAATGGCAAGGAACGGTGATCATCTAAAATGGCTTGCTGTGATTTCGAGGACACCGGACACTTTGTTTAATCCACTTTGTCTGAACTAAATGGGCACAACTCTCATGTCTCAAAACCATTTCATAATGTAGATTTATTTCAATACGGTAAAAGTCTTGCTAATATATGCCCGCATCTCTTTTACTAACCTTTTTGTCAAATTATTTATCCGTCATTCGAAGACAGGTTTACGCCACATATCTTTGGTGGCCCGAAATGCAGTGATATCAGCTGGTTGCAATAGTTGCGTTGCATTCAGGTTAAGGGCTATAAGTATTATGGCGAGACTTGGGCAAAGTTGCGCCGTATTTAAGATAGTAAATAACCCTCTCTCTAGGCACTAACTTTTGAACGTCTGATCACATTTTCTATAGGGGTCAAATAATAGGTTTTACCGTCTACTCCAAAGAACAGTCATGCAAGATTTAGATTAGGCATGATCCACCTCATAGACGTTTTATTCTCCCTTTATAAAACGGTTTAGTATGTATGGGGTATTTATTCAAAAACCTCACATCATTGACATTTGTATGACATCGAAAACTGTGACAGTACCAGGTCGGTTTTTCAGCTTGTTAGTTTTTTTTACTTTACTTATTTTGTGGAAACTGTAAATTCGCGCGTGGAATGTTAAATATTAGTGCGGCAGGTATTTTTCTAAAACGCCCTCTCTTAATAGCAGTATTCTTCATCAATTCAAAATATGAAAAAGTTCAGTCATAATCATTGGCACTATTCGAAGGATATAGTCATTGGCAGTGTCAAGAATAGATTTCGGACAAAAGAAAGAAAGTATAGTGATTGACATATTATATGCCAATGATTATGTAGTCAAACAAAGTAAAATATAGTCATTGGCACAATTAAAAAAACCGATGCTTCTATTTCACAACGATAAAAAAACGTTTAATATGCTTTAATGACGTTAATTGATTAAAATAGACAGAAACTTGCAAGTAAACTTACCTAAAAATCACATTTTTGTCTCAAAATCTAGCCACATAACCTTAACTTTTTGTTAAATTTTAACGGATTTGTCCGCACACCTTTTTAAAACAGCCCTTATGGGAAAATAGTTGATGCTTTAAATATAAATGTGTATTGTTAGTATAAGTAATTATATATCTTAGCAATATCTGTGTAGCTGTGATATAGAAAAAGGGAAACATTCTTAATATTCAGATTAAAATAGCAAAGTGCCAATCATTGTAGGAGTGCCAACATTAGTACTGTTTACCCTATTTAAAATTTCCTTTTTTAGAGAGCACCGAAAGAAACGATAATAACGTTATAAACACCAGAAACAAAAAGACCAAAGAAGTTTCCGTAGTAGAAGCAGTAGAAGATGAAACCGATGTCCGATATAAATTCCCGTCTCCTCCGCCATCAGAAAAGAAGACCTATAGGAAATCTGGTGCCAATAAAACTCCAAAACAGCAAAAATCTATTAATAGCTAGTGAGTAGTGATCATTTTTAAAAAACAATGTTTTGACGTTTAATTAGCTCACATATTGTTTTTATGACTCTACTAACTTCAGGTTGTTTAGTTTTTAAATATCAAGGACTAAATTTTAATATTATGTGAATGAATTGTCCTTTTTTATTTTACGTTTATTTTACCCTACATATTTAAAGTACATACAAATTGTAAAAAATATTTTGACAGAAAAAAAATCATTTGAATAATTTTATTCTATACAATATACATATTTTTTTAATAAATATTAAGTAACTATATACTCTTATAAATGTAGTCATTTTAGCCAAACGATCATTGTGGCGGCGCTGCGTCGCGGTGTTGTATTTTCATTCATAAATCACTCTACAAAACACAGTGTAAACAATAAAACGCTAGATGTGGCACTAAAAGCGCTAATTTGGAGATTTAGCCGCTCCGAAGTCGCATCGTGGTGTACACCGCACTGTATCGGCCCGCGGAATTTTATACATAAATCCCTGCAACGCACCGTGTACTGTAGCCCTTATATCATATAATATGTATTTTGTACTTTACCGTGCATTTATGTTCTTATATTGCCAAACTGCCTAATCGTAAAATAATTTTTATCAATAGAAGGTTTTAAATAATGGAATGAGCTCATGTGAAGTTCTTGTAATTTTTAGAATTAAGTATCCGTGTTATTTAAGCATTGGATAGGAGAGCTAAGAATGTCTCTTTTATTTTTAACTTCATTGTAATTCAAATAAAATAGTCTTAGAGTCAAATTTGTATTATTTTTTCCAAAAGTAGCATGTGGACTTTATTCTGAAATGAAAAGTAGTTAATAATCAATATGATATATGCATTAATGATCTGTGCAAATTAGTGCTAAATTGCAGTGGAGCAGCGAGGTAGATTTCATTTTAAAATATTTTACGTATAGTTAAAAGCAATTTAAGCTTTTTTATGGTACATAATGTGGCTTTAATTACTATTGCAGCTTGTGTCAATAATAAAAGTACATTAAAAATTATAATAAAAATTCAGTATATTTTTTAGCTAATAAGTACGCACAATGCATCTATTGATATCAACCTGCTTGCATTTATTATAGCATGCATGACGCTGAATAGCTTTCTAGTTCAAAGTTGATACTGCATTTCCGAAAAAAGTCCATGAGCCTTGCTGCTTGTCTGCATGCTGTAACATTTTTTTTCGTATTTAACAGCACACGTGAAAAGGTTGGAATATTTTCGTCGCCAATTAATGAATCGATTAACTCTGTAGAAAGCAGTCAGGGTTACCAGGATTCTGATATAAGCCCATATAATATATGCCTTAGAAAAAAGAAAAAAGTTAGTATCACTTCTCTATACAAAAGAAAAAATTATCAAACGCGACAAAGTATACGTAGGAGAACGCAGTTAAAACTTGATGAAATGTCTGACCAATCCAGCAACTCATGTCCAGATTTTAGCTTTAAGTCGACGTCATTACAAAAATCCAGTTTAAACACAGATGTGTATAGATCTGAATCCTATCAGTTGCTGATGCCAACAGTGAGAAATTCTTTTAAACATTTAGCAAAAATAGATGAAATAAACCTGGACGATAAAATAGATTCTGGGACAGTATTACAAGAACCCAACATAGAAATAGGTATAGATGATCAATTTAATTCTATGGGCAATACTAATAAGACTGAGTTAGGGCTTGGGGGTAATACTGATATTGAAAATTCTAGCAATGTATCATTACCTCCATCACCTGTTTTATCTATCGTAGAAAATATATCAATCAGCAAGAATGCCTTGAGTAGTATTGAAGAGCTAACTGAAAATGAGAGCTCTAATAGGTATCAAAAGAAAGAATATATTTGCAAAGACTATAATTTTACTGACATAGATGTTACGATGCCTCTAATGGAACAAGACTGTGGGCTACAAACATATAAACATAGTCTCCCAGAACCTAAATATGATTGCAATGCGAATAAGTCTCCAAGCATGACTGATTCTATTATAAACAAAATTTGTACAGTGAACATTGGAGATAACTTTACTTTATCAGATACAATCACCCAAAAAATACGAAATTTGATTCTAGAGAGCGCTAAAAAATTAACAAAGAAATTTCAAGGGGTTGTGGTGGTTGATAATAATGACAATAAAATGGATGTAGATGCTAAGGAAATCAAAACAACTTATAAAGGAAGATCGAAAAAACGGTGTTCAACACCACGAAAACGTAAAGGCACGAAAAGAGTTACGTCAAAGAAACCTGAATATGAAACATTTGTTGAGGAAGAACATGTGGAAACGTGTTCTCAAGGGGGAAGAAAGTCTTGCCCACCGTTTATTCCTATGCCTAGTGCTATTGAATATATGATTCGTGATGAACACATCACCACAGACACAAAATTACCCAATTCGAAGGGCAGAAAGAAAAAAGATAATATTATCAAAGTGAAAATTCTCAGACCTAGAACGAAATGTGATGCGAGAAAAACAAATATAGAACAAACAACCCTAAATATGTGTGATAAATCCCATACAGATAGTGGAATAAATGACACTGAATCAAGTATTGTTTTCCAAGATTATAATGACATTGATCTCATTCATAACCATTCAGAAACTTGTCTGCAAGCCAATGAGTGTGTGGGTGACAGTGTAGAATTTATAGAGAGCCGTACAAAGTCTGTGATATCTTTAGACAGTAACTCTGTGCAATCAGTTGAAATGGAATTTGATGATAAATTAAATACTGAATGTCCCCAAAACATGCCATGTGAACTGTTTATAAACAACACTCGGAATACGTGTATAAGTAAAGGTAAGTGCGCTAAAGATTACCTGAGTCACATTTTAATATAGATATATCAAATTAAACGTTACGCTTCTTATAAAGCTTTATATTTATTTCATTTTAATAAAACACTAGCAATGCTGTTAGAGTCACTAATATTCCTTTTAACTACTTCAGTTAAGCTTCAAATGCTTGTGTCAAGGATGGTTCACGACATTAGTCGAATGGCAGATTCGAACCCACGACTTTTTCAATTCGCGGTCTACGCCCGACCAATTAGGCTATCGTTACTTCTAACTATCAATATCCATAATTGTCACACACATAATTTAAAAAATAACATCATTAGATAAGGTGGACTTGTAAATGCAAAGATTATGTATTTTTTTTTAATTTTGCTTTTTATTTATAATTTACAGCTAATGAAATAATAAGTTCTAAAGATTTGAGGAGCAATGTGAGCACGACGTATCACACACCACTGAATAGTGAAGGATCGCCTACTAGTCTTATGACTGAAGATTTATCTGATGACTTGCCGGTGGAAAGATCACGGCCTTCTAAATGGTATCTTTTTTCCGAAGATGAAACTACGAATACAAATTTTGCTCTTCAAAAGTTCTCGAATAGCGACGTTAGTTATGGATCTAATCTTAATCAACTGTTTCCTATCACATGTGCTGTACCGGATTTATCCACGATATCTGAAATGTCTAAAGAGAATGACACAAAGCCAATAGTAGATTTAGATTGAAACACGAAATTATTTCCTTTCACAAAGTGTTTTCAATAGCAATTTTTAATAATTTTATATGGTAAATTTAAATAATTGTATTATGTATTATGCATGTATCCTAAGAATTGTTAATTAAAATATTATGTAGACTGTTTTCGTGCAATTTTTAAGACAAATATTTATTTGTTCTTTATTACATTTCTTAACCGATTCGTTACGGCACCAATTTTAGACAACTTTTAGCTGTGGCGGCGAACAGATATTTCATGACACGCCGGGCGTGTCAAGCGCCATTAAAAGTAATGTTCTTTTTTATGCTTTTTTTACTTGTTTAGACCCAATTAAGTTTATTTGACATCAAACATAAGTTACAAATGGAAGGATACTTGTTTTTAGTGGGTAACTACGTGTTTTTTTACGCGTTATCTTTCAAATTGAGAGAAAGTGACTTTTTTTATGAAGAGATTACAAACCTTTTGTATTATTTTTTGTTGTTATAAAAAAATCATTTATATAAGTAGGTACAGCGAAATCACCCTGGAAACCTTGGTTTTTATTAAATTAAATTTTCACCTAATAATAACATTTGTAAATATCAAACAATGAAGAACCTTAATTTGAAAAAAAAATAAGGTATATCATTCATTGATATTTACAAATGTTAAATATTATTTAATGTTATACAAATGTAAAAGTAAAGTTTATCTGAAAATGTCTAATTAGTAAGAATAGCAAAACAAGTGTTTTCAAAAGGAAAAAACGCCGGCGCTATACAGCGGCAGTATAGCGATTTAAGTAATTAAAATTGTGTTAAATTTCACCTGCGCTTTAATTTGAATTTCTTACATAAAGTAATAGTTCTGCCTTCTGCCACAGCTAAAAGTTGTCGAAAAATGGTGCCGCAACGAATCGGTTAACTGAAGACAAGTGGGTCACGAGCAGCTATCTTACAATATTGCATAAGAACAATAGGCGCACCAGCTGCCATATTGTTGCATCCCTGCGGAGACGGAGCTATGTAACACTGCCGCCCGACATCAGGTGATCGTGACGTCAGGGTGGTGTTATTCTGTGTTCCACAAACTAATTAGAAGTACTAGCGCAGTTCTAGCGGGTGCGTAACTTGAAAGTGTACTAGCTACACATTAATCTAATATCCAAAGTTGCCATTGATTTCTTTTTCTTCACTAGCCCGTAAATACCACTGCTGGATGTCGGGAGTGTGTCACGCACTGTAGATACAATTTGAGAGATTAATCCTAAAGGTGGTTTATACAGGTTAATTTTTTAAAGAGTAGCTATTAAAAAAATCTATTGAAGTTAAGGTTCATACGGTACGTATAAAAAAGACAGCAAAAGATTTGTTTTAAAATTTATTACTGATAAAAAACAATTACTTATGTACTACAAAACAAGTAATTTTTTTAAATAATGAAATAGTGTAAATTAAACAGTTTTTCGTAGAATATTATATCCTACACTTGCAACTGTTACTGGTAAAGTTAAAAGGATCCTGAGCGCAATACTGATATTTGGACCAAATCTAAAATCTGTTACAAATATCAAAACATTTGAGGAGATGAATTACTATTTAAAAACATACAAAGGACTTACGATTCCTCACAAAGTTCTTATGCGTTTATATCGCTTGAGTTCTCATGAGTTTTCATGAGCCTAGAGGTTCTTACAATGTTCTAAAAATTCATCTTTTGGAAGTTCTCTTAAGGCATATATGTTATACAAAAAAGCAAAACGTTTACTGTGCTCAGAAATCTGGGAAAATCTTAATTCTAAGGAGTTTATGGCTGTATCCATAATGTAAAAAATACTTCAATTTTATATTTTTGACGAGGCTCAATAATTGGTTCGTCAACACACTCGTAAGTAAATTGCTTTTTCTTGGATCGTGCACGAGGTCTAGCCACCTTTTCAAAGTCTAACACCTCACAATCAATTTCAAAGGCTAAGGCTTTGGCGTCTTCGAGAACTTGAGTAAAATACTCATCTGTGTGCCTAGTGCGAGATTTTGTTTTTACGCACTCGATACCGAGAAAGTTAACTACGATTTGTATTGAATAAAATCAGCGCCAACTAGTGGCAATAATCGGAATCACAGTTCATTATTACTTATTTGTTTATGTTTCGTAATTTGATCAAGGTTTCGACAGTTTGTGTTAGTATTATGAGATTGTGAATTAGCCATTTTATTTTAATGTTAATTATTGAAGGTATTAAATTGAAAGCAACAAACTTGAAGATGTTTTCGTTCTAATATGATTTTATGGTGACATTTATGAAGCAGTAAATGGAATTTAGTTACTTAGTGTTTAGTGAACTTATGATACTTACTATTAACTTAATTATTAAATAGTGATGGTAGGAACTTGGATTTATCAAACGCTATTTACACAAAAACTTGAATACTTTCTTGGAAAAGACGATATCTATCCTTAAATTACCTGTCATTGGGGTGTAACAACGTACTAAAATATGCACAAGCTCTTGCTTCAACACTGGCGTTATAATTGCAGTCATCTATTATTATTAGTTAATAATGCCTTTGTGGCTGCAAACATCCTCCTAACGAAAAAAAAACGTCCTGCCTAAATTATATATCGTTCTCACAAAACGAAATAAAATCAACTCTTCCACAATTATTCTCACTCTTCTATCTCACTGTAATGCCTCATCCCCACGCTTGGCAAACAACGGCAAACAGCAATCACGAACGTGTGGATGGTTGTTCGCCTGTTTGTTTGTATGTGATTGCCTGTGATCGGCGTTGGTGTCAGTTTTTATACACCGATCAAAGGGTGTTCGACAAACGTGTTTGCGATGTATCCACACGTTTGGCGATCAGTCAGTAGTACGCGCGAGCTTGCGGCTTGCGGGCGGCGGAAGGAGTTACCTACTAGTGGCTATTATTATTATACTCTACGCCAATGTTACCAATCCGAAATTTGTCTCGGAGGTAAATATGATTTCAGAAGTTGAGTTTCCTAGCAATTTTATTTCGAAAAGTTATGTAGTAGATCTACCACCTATTATATTTTAAGTTTTCTAGAGACCTCTCAATAATAATGTGATTGACTCCTAATTAATGTTTCTATTGGGTAACAAATATTTCACCTCTTTTTATATGGAGCCCCATGTGAAAGCAGGATCATTGATCATCAATTCCCAAAATAAAATCCGAAAAAATTATATAAGATTAGTATATCCTATATATCGATAAGTTTAGTATATCCTGATTTAATAGTTTTTAGACTCGTAGTTACACAACAAGGAACCCTTATAGTTTCGCCATGTTCATCTGCAGTTTTGCTCAGACCCTAGGTCCTACAAATCTGTAATTTGGCAGTTATAAATATTAATCACGCCTAGAAAACTAGGTCTTTCAAAAACATTGGGGGACAACTTTCAAATTGAACAACATCTTTTCGATTCAGGGGTCCGTTTGTGAAATATTTAGCTTTAACCCTTAATTTGGCAAGGAAAAAAAGTTAAAAATACCTTTATTTTTGTTAATATTTATTTAGTAGTGAGTAAAAACATACGAAAAAATTAATTAAAAAAATATAATATACTTATTTTCGCGAAAAATCAATGTCCGCCACTACGGCCATTGCCAAATATGTAAAAACTGACTTGCTGATTTAACTGTCCGTCCTGTCTGACGGACATTATCAATTTAGGGCAAAATAATAAATCCAACTGTTTTAATATTTTATTAAGAATATAATAACTTATGACTTTAAAATAAACTACATAGTTAATCTTATTTGGTATGGAAATCTAAAAAACAATTTCCGGCATTTTTTCCAGATACAAATCAAAGTCGCGTCTGACATTTTATGCAGTACACCACAGTTTTTTTTTTGGCAGTATGTACAATGTCCTTCCTCCATGGTTTGCGGGAAATGATTTGTCGTGCTTTATTGGACTGGAAGGGCGTGCTGCACGGGTCGTGTTGATTTTTGGGGCTATGCATTGCTCCGTTTGGCACAACGGTTTTCAGAGATGAGATTCTTATACACAGCATATCGAAAAGCTTTCAGTGCCATCTTCTTTTTACGATTGCCTTCATTCGCCTTTCTGTGAACCAACCAAGCATTGTTTGCACAAATGTCCAGTAATTGCCAAAAAATGCCCATGTACCAGCGTCGTGTTTTAAATGGCGTTTTGTACAGCTATATCAACATATCAGCTAGGTCGATTGCACCAATATGTTTGTTGTACTGTCGCACAATTTGTGGACACTGTACTACTACTGTCTTCTTCTCGTCCTTCGAATATCGCAAGATCTTTTCCAAAGGCTCAGCCACAGCAGTAGAGGAATAGTTGTAGAAGTAGAAGGACATTCATCATGCATTTCAGATTCAGAGTCTGATTTTCCACTAGCATTTGATGGAGCATGCTTGTTAGGAACTAAGGCTAATATTCTTGACGCACTGTGTGCTGTTGACAAGCAGAAAAGAAAAACAAATAAGAAAGCACCCATAACCGCAAATTAAACGAACTTTGGTGATGTCCGTCCCAGCGGACAATGTAATTTGGAACAACATTTCTAGATCTTTGGCAATGTACGCTGGGACGGACAAAGAGGTTAAGAAGCAAAAAAGCCAATAGAACACACTTCATACGTTAGGAATTGCGAGTAAACATAATCACACATATATATTCTATAACCCAATGCAAAATACTTTTACTTTTGTTATACAAAACATGAAAAATATCAAATTTTTTACCTTGCTAAAAACAGATAATCGCCTCCTCGCCGACATTTTGTTTTCGGGTGACAGATACAGTTTTGCCACTCTAGAAATTCCTTTTGCACAATCTTATTTATAGAACAACAAATAATTGCCAGTAAAAGAAAAAATTTTAATCCATTTGCAAGACGCACAGAATTTTTTTGAAACTTATGTCCGTCCCAGCGGTCGAAATCAAATTAAGGGCTAAAGTGGTATTTTCCCTTAGAATCATGTGTCCCCCCCCCCCCCCCCTCCTCTACCAAC